ACTTAGTAAGAATTAATATAGAGAAATCGATGAAGGCTTTTTGTAATTTGAATCTCATGATTAATAAAGGTAAAATATGATCGCAATGATCTTCACTCTTTTATTATTGGTGATCTTGTCTTCTTGTGTGTTGGTTTATCTTATACTATTTATGATCAACTAAAGACTTTATATTTGAATTATTTGTATTACAATATTATCATTACAATATTATCCATCTCTGCTTACCATGATTTTGAATTAAGGCTATATTGAGGCAATACGCACAGTATGCACATATGCCAATTAGAGACTGACCAGTTGCAGTCCTAACAAATCGATGGGAAGATTCAAACAAACAATACCGAATGAATTGACTATTATACTTTGTTGAAACAGCGAATGCTTCAGTGTCAAAAATCAGGCTTAATCTTCTTGATGCCCAAATGTAACAAGAAAGTTTTGTGAGTTTTTCCCCTCATGTTCTTGGATTGGACTTAATTCTTACAGAGAATAGAAACAGTTTTTATTCTCTATCTTAATTATTGAGAAATGTTTACTTATTGTCACCCTACTTGGAGGATATGCCGCAGTCTAGGATTCTTCAACCAATTCTGTCCTTAGTTCTTCTCTCAAATTGTTTTCAAGAGCTACTCATCTTCTTGATGTATACCTCCAATTCCCAAAGCGAAGTGTTCTTCAATCTTCCTTTTTTACTTTCGTCATCAAGATTTCAAGTTGAAGCTTGCCTCGTTATGCACTTTGATGATTTTCTCAATGTGTGTTCTAGCCACAAACGGCATCTTTTCCTAATTGACTTTTATGTGTTCCCTGTCGTGATAGGTTGTTGTTGATGCTATCCTGCCAATGGACACTGAGTATTCAACGTAGATAGCTGTTTGAAAATACCTATACTTTTTTGATGATTATTGTGGTAGTTTCCGACATTTCTGCTCCGTGCAGTAGAACTGTCCTGACGTCCTAACTGTTAACCTAGTTTCTTGATATTATATAAAATTTTTATATTAACACAGTCATAAGCTGACAGTCTTGGACTTTATATTTCAGACTACCAGTATGTATGTACGTACCATAGAACGCATATTGAAAGAAATGAAAGAAATTTTACTGTTCATATATGTTGCATGTGCACTAACTGATTATTTCTATGTACTTGATTGAGCATTTATTACAAGTACTTAGTATAATACTCTTCAGCAGTGCGCATCCACGAGATTCAAACTTAGGAACTATCAGTTTCGCCCGCGCTAGCGCTTAATCTCTAGACCACTGAGCCAGCGGAACGGCCGTCTAGTGCTTCCATGTTTTCCATGGTGTTCTAGCTTCAATTAACTCATGATCTCAACTATTAAAAATACATTATAAATTTCTTGAAAGCGTGATTGTTTTTGTATATAGAGTGCTTTTCCATTTGTTATTTTGTATGTAGCGCATATTATATCATTTAACACACTAATAAAGTTATAAGGCGAGACTATAGTTTATAGACAAAGTAATCAGATTTAGGTTAAGAGGTCTAAGACTTTGCTGCGAATTTGATTCATTGATTTGGCTAAATACCGTCTTGGCAGTTTAGCTGATGTCAGTTCGTGATTAAAACCCTAAATCTGACCCCTAACCACCAACCTTAAAACATGATTCTAATTCCTCACACTGGTCTATAACCCCTATTTAGTCCTAGGAAGTAGGTGAACATTCTCAAGGTCACCTTAGCGTCTCTCAGAGACTGTCCATAAACTATAGTCTCACCGTTTTTCATTATATTTTGTGATCTAAGTTTTTGATAATTCACTCTTTAACATTATACTTCATGTTCCGAATTAAAAATCACTTTCGCTGTTTCTTGAATAAGCTTTACTTATTTTTTCTTCGTTCATCAACTTGTGTAATACTAAAGTGTATGCTACTTATATCTATCGACATAAGTAGTATGTTACACTTATCAGAGGTGGAAAACCTGACAGTAGAAGGATACGAAGGTGAACTTGAAGAAAACAGAAACGGAATTAGAAAGGAACTTTGTATTGGAAGAATCATACGGAATTTGAAAGATGGGAATTTGCAAATGAAGTATTTAATGCATGATTTTTATATTTTATCAAGATACTCAGTAATTTTGTATTAAAACATATTGGTCATCCTCACCTGCATTCACGTTCACTACAATATGACCTCATACATTTCCTAATACTTTCTTTTAAAATATCTGCCCGATTAACTTAGAAATAGTCAATAGTGGCGTTTGAAGAGAACGGTACTAGGTTCGAGTCCCAGAGTGAACATCAACCCGGGGATGCAGGTACATCCATCTAGTGAGCATCTGGACGTATTAGCTAAGCGGAAAAAGTGATGGCGTTTTAACTGAGTATTATCGAGTTCATGTTACGGGGTGAATATAAACTCTAGGATGCAGATATACCCAACTGACGAGTCTTAACTAGGTCGAAAACTGCGTCCTGGATTCCAATTCTATCTGCCATCCAACTCTGCTTAAATATGACTTAATCGATTAGTTGTATCTGCCATCACAAAGTAAATGATGCTTCCTGTGAGATTCATATCAACATAGTTTTTTTAAGATCGTTCATACACTTTGCTGAATCGTGTCAACTAGTACAAGACTTAGGTTCAGCTTTCGATGTATAGTGGATTAGACACCTAATCACTGAAGCTAATAGTTGTTATGACTTTAGACTCAAAGTCAGCTATCAATTTCAGATTATAATTTTTTTATCTCACGTTTACCGTCCCGTGTATAGCCTAGCATTCTAGACTTGACCAGATACACGTTTCAACCAGCAACCAGCTTCTTCTATATGAATATTTCAGTTACCCAGCTCAGCCAAAAAACTCAATCAGCAACTATCTCAAATACCTATTAGCTTATATGTACAGTTTGTAAGACGGCACAATACACCAAGTGAAAAAGTCATAGTTTAAACACGATCAAAGAATACAGTTATCTCATAATTACGTAATAAGGATCATTGATAGATAAGTATGATATTTTACTTACTGTTGATTCTCGTAAGAAAATTTGTTTATTCCACTGGATGGTAAAGCTTTTTGGAACGTTGTCTTCATCGCTTTGAAAACTAGATCAACCATATTAGTAAACATTCTTTTTTGCTCCTGTTCAAAGTTATCCTCGTTGTAAAATGAGGGTGGTTCGCATTTGTTAAATTTACGTTTGATTTTGTTTACATCTTATTACTAAAAGTATTAAATATCAATTTTTCATGTATCATGGTGGATCGTGGATGTGCACTGATGAGAAGTCCCAAGCTAGGACGAAACGGTCGTCCATTACTTTAAGGTTTTTAATGGCAGTCGAGATTAGATTGATTCGTGAATTCAACTATGTATGACTAATATATTACAACAGATATATTGTGTCGTTTCTAATCCTAATATTACAAAATTAATGCCAAGAAACCTGATAAATCTAAACGACACATTATTCACCTAAAAGGATTCTTTATGAAACCTTCTTATAACTATTCATCATCCTATTCAAAATCATTATTATTCAATTCTTACAGAAGTTGATGAAATTAACTAAAGATAACATATGAACATGTACAATGAGTTTCTTAATTACCTTGGCATTCCTACTCCACTAGCTGATCTATTATTCAATGAACCATTAATGAATGAACTAAAAATATGTGTTAAACTTCATTCATTTCTAAATTCTATACAACAACTCGAAAGAAGCTTTAATGAATTACTACTAGATCATTTCTACGTAATAATAGTTTAACCACCTATTGATTTTGTGTCTGTTACAAAACTGAAAAGTCTTGTAAGCAAAGATGGATAGTGGATAGCGATGGAATACAGGACGCACGTTTCGTCCTATTTGGGACTCGTCATCTGGATGTACCTGCATTTCAGAGTTGATATTCACTCTGGGATTTGAACCCAGTACCGTTAGATTCAAACGTCATCGCTCTATTCATTTAGCGAGTCCCAAATAGGACGAAACGCGAGTCCTGGATTTCACTACTAGCCACTATCCATCTTTCCTTAGAATGCTTGTGAATAATAGCTATAACGAGGCAATATGCACAGTATGCACATATGGCCAATAATAGACTGATCAATTGCAGTCCTAAACATCAATGGGAAGATCCAAACAAAGATTACTATTGTGTGAATTTAGACTTCATCCCATTGCATAAACAAGTGGCTATCAGGATTCAATAGCTGAGCGGATAACGCGATGGCGTTTGAAGCGAAAGGTACTGGGTTCGAGTCCCAGAATGAACATCAACTCAGAGATGCAGGTACATCCAACTGACGAGTCCCAAATAGTACGTAACGCGCTTCCTGGATGCCAATACTTGCCAATATCCATCGTTGCTTAGAATGCCTGTGACTTTAGGCATTATCGAGGTGATACGCACTGGATGCCCATATGTCAATAAGAGACTGACCAGTTTCAGTCCTAAGCATCAATGAGAAGATACAAAGAAACAATACCAAGTGAATTGAAAATTCTTATGTTCATTTCTATTCTAGATCATAGTTACCTATTATTGATCCACCTTATACTAACACAGAAAACAGCTTTACATTGTCTCTTTAAATTGTATAAACCTTTAAAATCATCCACATTTATAATGATAGAATCACTTCACTTCTAATAAACTAATTCTGTTTGAACAAATCAATATTGAACATTACAAAAAAGAAACACACAACATTGTTACTATGAGATCTTGTGACAATAAAGATTCTAACAACTAAACTATTATAATATCCAATCGTAATCATTTATATCACCGTTTGTGATTGTTCATTCCAGTTTGCTTATGAATATGTGTACTAATGTAAATATGTGAAGAGTACAAAAAGGAAACCACACTACTGCTACTACTACTACCACTACTATATCATTACCACCATCACTACTACTACTACTACTACTACTACTAATACTACCACTACTACTACTACTATCACCACCACCACCACTACTACTACTACTACTACAACTACTACTACTACTAATAATAATATAGATCTGTTTGTTCTTACATATATACATATATTCTATTATTCCCCTATTGCCCTTATTATTATCGATAGTTTCCAATATCAAGGAAGTAATGATCATCTTAACCCTATTAATACAACTATATATCATTCATGTATATTATTATATTAATCTTCTATAGTTCTATATTCATTCTAATGACTAAATGTATTCCATATAATGTAGTACAATCCAATCCATTTAAACAACACTATTCATGTATTGAATTATCCAAAAATAATATTGAACATTTAATTCAACAATCAGATTTAATTATAGCGGGACGTTTAAAATATCATAATAAAAATGAAAAATATAAACAAATTCATTCAAATGATACTACTGATATAAATACTACTCATAATACTACTACTACTACTACCACCACCAATAATACTACTTATAATACTACTTATAATGATGATATATATTTTAATATAACTGTTTTCATTAAAACAATCTATAAAATAAATCATTTAATGAATAATAATGAAATTATCATTGGTCCAATGTTCATATCAAATTCTAATAATAGAAATGGTACAGGATGTTTAACGGAGTTTTATTCCAATGCTAAATATATATTCTTTTTAAAGAATAATAATAATAATAGTACGGTAAATTATTATCATCCATTAAGTGAAGCTATAGAATATACAGAATATATAGAAAAGAAGATTTATGGATTATATTGTCATAATTGTGGTAAGTTATGCATAATATTGTTTGTGTTATTACTTACTTACATACGCCGTAGTCGAGGAGCATAGGCCGCCGACCAGCATTCGCTATCCAACCCTGTTCTCAACAATCCCTTCCGGTTCTTTCCAGTTACAAATTAATCCCCGATGGAGCATAGGCCGCCAACCAGCATTTACCAACCCACTCTGTCTTGGGTATTCTTTTCTAGTTCTATCGAATTGTTCTTCATTCCTCTTATATCTGTCTCCATTTCTCGGAGTAATGTGTTCTTTGACCTTCCTCTTTTCCGTAGTTTGATGATTTCTTTAATGTATGTTTGGTTCACTTCTAACGTGTTTTCCTAATTTCTTTTTTAGCTGGAAGCTGGTTTGTTCTCTCTCATAAAACGCTGTTGATGATAGCATCCAGCCAGTGAATGTTAACTATTTTGCGTAAACAACTGTTTATATATACTTGTACTTTTTTGACGAGGGATGTAGTAGTTCTCCACGTTTCAGCTCCGTACAGTAGGACTATCTTGACATTCCTATTGAAGATTCTCACCTTGAAGTTAGTGGACAGTTGTTTTGAGTTCCATATGTTCTTCAATTGTAGAAATGCTGATTGTTTGTATTATGGATATATATAGATACCTTATATTTTACTATATCACTAAAACAGAATTCATGAAGTAAATGAGAATTGAGTAACTTAGTAGATAATGTGATAGTGTTTGAAGAGTGGGGTATTGGGTTCGAGTTCTAGAGTGAATATCCGGTTGATGGGTCTTAAATTTACGTCTTGGATTCCACTGCTAGCCACTGTCCATCTTTGTTTATAATGCTTATGAATTAAAGGCAATATTGAGGCAATACTAACAGTATGCAAATATGCTAATAAGAGACTGATCAATTGCAGTCCTAAACATCAATGAGAAGATTCAAAAAAAAAACAATAATAAGTAAATTTAGTTGAAACCTTGTTTACCTCAAACACGCTAAGTTGTTTTTAAATGAGAATTATTTGGAATACAAACTGAAATATTGACTGTTGTTCGTAAAATTTGGTTTATCAGCAAGGTATTCACCTCACATACAGATATATAAATGACCATTATGTCCTATAATACATAAGGTGGTGTTATAAGAAAGAAACTGGAGAGCCGAAACCCTACTGTTAGATATACAGTGGTTTGGAAAATACTTCTCTCTGATAATTTGTTATCTTATTGAAATCTTGAACCAAATTAAGTTAGATAATTGGTGAGAATTCAAAAGCACTGAACGGCCGTTCCATTCTAGTTTGAGACCCTTCAACAAGGTGAATCGACAATCTCGCAACTAGAAATCGAAGTTAGACGTGTACACCACTAGATGTCGGTCCAGTGTTCTAGAGGTAACATGTTTGTGAGCGAGATTGAAGGTTTCGTATTCGATTACCGGTCACGGGATCAAGGATGCGTATAGCTGAATATTACTATACTAGGATGGAATTGAAGTCTATCGCCTTAGGTTGGTTCGTGATCCTAATAAAATTTGATAATCCCTACAACCCTATAGTAAAAATATTATTATTACAATGCCAAAATATAATATTGAGTAAAGCCATTAATAATAATAAAAATGAAGACATAATTCTTTGTCAGAAGAGGGGTTTTGTGTAAATTTTAGTAATTTTATCGTTGAATTCATAAGTAAATTGAAGCTAGACTACCATGGAAAACCTGGAAGCACTGGACAGCCGTTTCGTTCTATTGTGAAACTCCTTAGCAGTGTGAATCTACGATCCAACACGCGCGACTTGAACCCAGCATCTATAAGTTACGCGCTCGAGCTCTCAACTTCTAGACCAGTGAGCCGGCATCCAACGGTGTTAATTTTTAACTTCAACCAATTCACTCTTTGTGTTATATATATAAAAACGTAATCGATCATTTTTCATTCATCATCTAGAAAACGTGACAAAGATGATCATTAGATCAATAATGTGAATTCTTTGCATAACAACTCATTTCTAATCAAAGTTTATATATTAATAACACATAAAAAGAAAACAACTTAATGATGAATACCGAAAAGACTAATAAGGAAAAACAAAATATACTTGTATACTCTTATGAACTTACTGTTTTGTTCGATATATCTTGTTTCTTTAACTATTATTGATTCTTGGATCTATCAGTTAAGTGATCTGGAGCGAGATTGGTAGGTCCTTGGTTCGATTCTCGCGAGGCGGGATCGTAAATGCGCACTGCTGAGGAGTCTCACAATAGGACGAAACGGCCGTCAAACAGTGCTTCCAGGTTTTCCATGGTGGTCTACCTTCAATTGACTAATGCTTTCAACTGTTCTTCATTTGTATAAACATTTTTGAGTATCATTATGAGTTTTGTAAAAAAAAATTTAAGAATGATAATTTTTTTTAATAGTTGAATTCATAAGTAAATTGAAGCTAAACCACCATGGAAAACCTTGGATCACTGAACTGCTGTTTCGCCCTAGTATGGGACACGTCATCAGCGCCCATCCACGATCCCGCACTTGGGACTTGCACACAAGACCTGTCTCTCACGTGAAAGCCTAAGTTGTAAACCACTGAGCCGGGGCCTAATGATGTTAATAGGTGACTTCAATCAATCCATGAAATGGTGTAGTATCGGTGTATATGTTAAGCCCATATACTTTATTCTAGTTGCTGGCCAAGCCAATTCACCTGTACATTGAGTCATCTTTTGATCATGTTAATCATTTGCTTATTAACCTTGACTATATTTGTAAATGAGCGTATATGTGTGCACACTTCGTATCTTATTCATTATATGTCTGTCACTCATTTATGTCTAACTATAAATGTTGATTAACGTTTGCTCAAATCGAGTTGACTTCCCAGCCATCTCCAATACGCATTATCTTTCGCTTCGCTCTCGATTTGGCTTCCCAGCCATCTCCACTGCATGTCATTTCCGCCTCATTTGCTTCCTTCGCTTATTCACCTATTCACTCGCTCGTTCATATTCGCACAGGTGTTGTTAACTTTCTGACCTGAGTTATTCGACAATAAACTGTACTTGCTGTTATCCTTTGTCTTCTGATTTTACGCGCCGTTAACATTAGAATTATATCGATTATCGAAACGAATGATTGGAGGCCTCGCCGAACGAGCACGACGCAATAATGGCACCACTGTTTCTGACACTATTTGGCATTGCGATAAGATACTAATCCATCAATTTGTAGAGTATTTGCTTTACAACGTTTAATTTATATATAGTATCTAGCATTTTTTTATTTATTTAGTGAATGAATGCTGAATATTTTATTTCAGATTCTAACTTTCACATGATTTCGTTGTTTTCATAAGGCTAGTAAGGAGGAACTACAATATCATATTCACAAAAGATATATGAATATAATTATCAAAAGCGGCTTTTTGCGGAGATTTAGTATTTTCATAGTTGAAAGCGTGAGTCAATTGAAGCTAAACCATCATGGAAAACCTGGAGGCGCTGGACGGCCGTTTCGTTCTATTGTGCGACTCCTCAGCAGTGCGCATCCACGATCTAGCCTCGCGATATTCAAACCATGAACCTACCAGTCTCGCTCCAGAGCACTTAACCAATAAACCACTGAGAAGTTCTATAATATGACGAAACGGCCGTCCAGTGCTTTCAGATTTTCCAAGGTGGTTTAGCTTCAATTGACTGACGCTTGCAACTATGGAAACACGAATATAACTTTAAATGATTGAAATAAAGTCTTCAACTATGAAAATTTTTTTTCATTGTTAGAAATGAGTAACCGAGAGAAATTCTTTTAACAGATACAGAAACTATTTTAATGACTCTTTCTTAAACTTCAATTAGCAACAAAAGAAACTTCAATGGTTGTTATCTACCTACTAAATCATGTTTCTTTTTCTTTTCTTTTACCAAAACAACTCCCACATAGTTTACAGTTCACAATTTTCACTAAACACTATACACATGTATATTACTAATCTCTAAGCCTCAAAGCATAACAACTACCTGATCGATTGGTTCATTATTTAAGTAATTAGTTTAGTTTAACCAATCATACACACACACACAAATGGTACAACTTCGAACTTGTCACGTTTTAAAATATATCATCAGTTGAATTATTCAATTGAAAAAAACTTTCTAAATTATTGTATAGTTCATTAAAAATTTTTTTTAAATAATGATGGGATCCACGATGCACATCTAGTCGTATTTAAGACTCGTCAGTCGGATGTATTTGCATTTCAGAGTTGATGTTTTTCTGTGAGACTTGAACTCATTACATTGATAAAAGAAATGATGAAGTAAATTCACTAAAATGATAAAAGTGGACAAATAAATTATCTTATATAGTTGAAGTCATGAGTCAATTGAAGCCAGACCAATATGGAAAATCTGGAAACACTGGACGGCCGTTTCGTCCTATTGTGAGACTCCTCAGCAGTAAGCATCTGTGACCCCGCCTCGAGAGATTCGAACCCATGACCTATCAGACTCACGGGCGAGCTCTTAAGTACTAGACCACTGAGCCGGCAGGCATCCAACGTTCTTAAAGTCTAACTTCAACCAATCCACGAAGTGGAGCAACCATTCACTAACGTGTTCAGCCAGTGGATATCTTCCAACAGATATGGTTGAACTCCACTGGTCACTGCTTCTCACTAGAACTCCAGGAAATACATCTTGAAACCAGTCACTAGCGAGCATATGATTATCAGAAAGGGGTTTTGTGGAGATTGTAGTAATTTTATATAGTTGAGATCATGAGTCCAGTGCTTCCAGATTTTCCATGATGGTCTAACTTCAATTGACTCATGATCTCTAAAAGAAGAAATTACTAAAATCTCCACAAATCCCCCTTCTGAAAATAAAAAAATCTATTTACTAGATCTTAGTTCCAATGAAATGATTTTCAACAAAATAGGATCAGTGATCAACTGGTTCCAAAGAATTCAGTATTGATTCATGGGTGTTGGTTAGTTTAAAACATTCATCATACATAGCAGAACAAAACATAGAACCAAATAATAGTGTCTTTAATCAAATTTCCATCCAACTTGATTCTATTATATATATAAATCAAGTTGGGTCCTTTACAACTATCGAGTTCAATAATTGGAAACATTGGGCAACATGATTTTACATTAGTTGGTGATGTAGATCCATTCACTCTTTATCTTCTGTTTGATTATGAGTTTTAAAATTATGTCATACTATTGATTTAGTAAATTTGTTCTCCATTAAATCGTATTTTCTATGCCTAATCATTGATATTGTTGTTACTTTTATTACTCGAATATTTGTATTGATAATTGGATTTCACTTAGCTAATATGGTATAGGTGGGGTGTGTGTTACTAATGTCGACAGATATTAATAGTATGTAGTACCAATCGAATATGGAACGCTTGGCAGTAGAAGGTTAAGAAGATCGAATAGAAGGGGACATGAACAGAATGTGATTAGGATGAAAATAAGAAAACAACAAAATCTATGACAATTGATGGAGGATTTGCAAATGAAGTATTGAATGTATGGTATTCACATTTTACCGAATAACTTTATTCGATGATAACATTAACTCAAGCTGTAAAATCGTGTTTATAGTAAATTGACAAACAAATATGAAAGTGTGAAAGGTGAAATCGAATACATGGAAGATCATTGCCTACTTCAGGAGTATAAGAATGATGAAATTCTTGAGGCTTAAATAAATTCCTTCAACAAATGGTGTGATATAATTGTCATTTTGCTTTTCAATCGACTAAATTATTTGCCAGTTAACTACAATAATCTGATAGTACGATTTGAGTAAACAATATTGTCGAGAAGAAAATTTCCCTCTCTGAACTGTTTCGAATTCTTATTAGTTATAACTTGTGCCCTATTAAATATATGACGTAATGATACCGTCAATTAGCGAACAGTGATGTATTGAATAGACCAATGACGCATAAACCCGTACGAACAGTCCAGGGTCCTTATCAGTCTTTCTTTCTGTCTAGCTCTGCCTGTTGAGTCCAGAATATAAACCTTAGCCTCAGAGATATGAATCCTTTATTTCAAACATACTGGGTTTATATACAAACCAAACAGACCACATGGCACCATAAAATACAAAATCACTTCTGTACATAATCTAGCCAAAAGTGGCTATGAATATGGGAAACTGTAATTAATTAAACTGGGCATAACTAAAGAACGGCCGAGAGTGGGAAGGGTCCGCTCTCTTTCTCCAAATGCTCTCACACAGCCATGCGTATATAGCATCTGTCAGGGAAGTCCTACTCACTGCCCTCTCGTGATTGGGGTATTGTTTACGAAACTAAGAGGAAGAAAAGTTTATGTCCGGCGCTCTAACCGGGTTGATGGATACAGAAAGTTCACCTAGGGAAGTTGGTAAACCCTGATTCCAAACCAATAGTGCACATGGGCTCCCGTATCCTGAGGGAGCAAACGGCAAATGAATCAATCGTTGGTCACCGGCTACCATGGGACTGCATATTCTCACGATGCTCTACCGCCTTATGGATCAAACCTTTAGTTCGAAGGCTCCGGGTATGGCCCCTTAAAAAAACCACCTACTTTGGTCTCTGCACACGAACAGTATCACAGCCCACACACAAATAAAATGACTTGTGTGGTGTCCCATTTTACCAATATTTATGTGTTTAAATAAGTAAATAAATACTATTATTATTGTGTTATAGAGTAGCGTAACTAGGTCTTTTTCTCAACTTGAAGGTTTGGATACTATTATAACCATAAAATTGTTTTGTACCATTCTAATCTTGCTAGAAATGGTTTTTATCTTTTGTTTTAGAAAATTTATAACCTTTTAAAAGATAAGAACATTAAGGCTACATACAGAGTGAGAGTAAAAGCTTGGTATTAACCAAGCTTTAAAGTTTACTACACAGAAAAATATTTAACACATTTCATATCTTTGAAAAGGTATAGTAACTTATCGTTTCCTATCGATTTTCAGACAACTATAGATTAAGTTAAATGGCCTATAAATTGTTGTCAAGGCTACTAATCTTTAGTTTCTAGTCAGTTGCATAAACTTACTTACTTACTTACTTACTTATGTCTGTTACCCCCAATGGAGCATAGGCCAAAGACCAGCATTCTCCAACCTACTTTACAATGGGCCTCCCTTTCTAGTTCTATCCAATTTTTGTTCATCCTTTTCATATCTGTCTCCACTTGTAGGCGTAATGTGTTCTCTGGTCTTCCTCTCCTCCTTTCGCCTTCAGGATTCCATGTAAGGGCTTGTCTTGTGACGTAATTGGGTGATTTTCTCAATGTATGTCCTAACTCCGTCTGTAGATATTCTGGGGGCTACTGCCAGTCCCTAGCCCGAAGAAAGGAGGAGGTTAGCGACCCCATCCCGTAGAAAACCAACTCGCTGAAAAAACGCTAACCAGAAAAAATTATTCAAACCATCTAAACTCTTCCCTGGGAGTTGAAAAAATAATTATGACGTCTCATGATGAAATCCGTGTTTCTTCAGAAGTCATGAGGCCAATGCACCTTCTAACGACCAGAGCAACATTTTTTATAGTTGTATAAAAGCGTTGGTAAATAGAATGTTTTGTAAAGAACTTTGTTTGATTCAAGATATTTTTTTTTGAAAATTGATTGAAGAGTACAGAAGGAAATGGGTTATATCAATTACAATCAAAAACCTTTAAGACTTGAAAGAAGTCATCAATCTGTTATTCAATAGTACACATAGTTGGAAACCTTATCCCAATTATTATATGGCGCTTTTATGATTAATTGTCATCCACGAGTTATGTTTTCATGTCAGGTAATTTTTTTGGTTTTACTAGCTACACCTACCTGACAAGATTGAGACGAATCTAACTGGGGGTTAATATTAGTAAGCAGATATAAATATTAGTATTCTGTTAACTAAAAAATTCCAAGAGTATATAATGCACTGACATCGGTGATTCTAAAGTCAGTAATCATAATCTTTAGTTCTATATTTTGTAGTGTGGGAGTCCCTTGAACTACTTAACCATGACCACTTATGCAGGATTCCAACCCAGAACTTCCGAATGCATGCACAAATACTTAACCTCTAGACCACCAAGTCGGCATCCAACAGTGTCAATGTCTAACTCCAACAAATATACGATATTGTATGATCCCACATACGGGATCATGAATGCACGTTACTGAGTAGTCCCATACTAGGACAAAATGACCGTTCAGTATTTCTACGTTTTCGACGATGATCTAATGTTGTTCGGCTGATGATTTCATTAAAAACTCAACAAATTTCACAATCCTATACTGAGAATGTCGTCACAAAATAAAACTCTTCAGTGTACTGACTACTAACTTTTGGTTTACTATGAATATCATGTAGAATTCAATATCCAATATTCACTTTAATTAATGTCTGATGTTTGTCATTGAAATTAGAATGAAATGGTGTCTGCTTTAAAACATCTTCTTGTTAACACTAGTTACTAAATAATATATATTTTTCTGTATTCAATGAGAAACTAAACTGTTATATATTTTGTTTGATGAACTACTGTTGACTGACTAGTTAATTACACATAACTATAGACTCTACAAATGATTGTTATCCACTTATGGTTAATCCATTGTACAGAATATTACAGGGCGTATTCATGAAAACATGGGACTAAAGCCAGAAAGGTCCTTTACTGTCAGTCAATAAATTTGACTTAATGTTTAACAAATACACAGTTCAATATTCAGTATATGTGTAAATAAATGTAACTGCATATAATAGTAGAAACGACGGAGGGGGGTATCTAACCTGTATATGATCTTATGACTTAAACAATAGATGTATTTGATGGTTGATGATTTCCTAAATGTGTGTCTTATCCACTTCCAACATCTTTTCACAATTTCCTCATCAGCTTCAACCTGGTTTGTTCTCTCCCATAGTAGACTGTTCCTGATGGTATTCGGTTAACGGACAATGAGTATATTATATAGACAATTTTTTATAAATATTGTTCCTTGTTGATGATGGTTGTAGTGTAGTAAACACAACACAGGTGGGGACAATCGAATGTATTTAAGCCCAACATTACAGACTATCTCACTAAATTCTGATAACCATACAGTAGTAAACAGTTAATTTATAAACTATCAATCAATTGACTAAATCTTCACTGTTCCTTCTGTAAATATCAGTCTGTCTTCTCTGATTTTTTCGTTCATGCATTTTCCTACCAATTGCGCTTCATTTCAATTCTTTCCTTATTGGTCTTCTAACAAAATACATTCTATGTCTGACCCTCACCATATACTACTTATATGGATATAAGTAGACCACACTACAGTAGTAGTTCTTGAAGTTTCAGCTCCATACAGTAGACTCGTCTTGATAATTTTTTTAATCTAACAATCGGATTTCATTACTGTTTACCACTCAATACAAATTAAATTGCAACCAAGTCATTCGACATTTTCATTATTTTTAATTGTTTTAATAATGTCTATTTTTCTTTTACCCTAAGTGAAACCTACAATTCAATCTATTCCTAATCAAGTATTAGAATATGGTCATTCATTAACAACTAGCTGTTTAGCAACTGGTACACCGACACCAACTATTATGTGGATAAGAGATGGAAAATCAATTAATCTAGCTGATAAAGGTTTAACGGTTGAAACGTTTGAGTAAGTTTTATATTATTATTATTATTCTATTTCATTTGATAAAACTTTGTAAGCAAAGATGTTTAGTGACTAACAATGGAATCTAGGACGCGCGTTTCCTTCTATTTTGGACTCGTCAGCTGAAAGTACCTGCATCTCAGAATTGATGTTCACTCTGGGACTCGAACCCAGTACTTTTGCTTACAATCCTTGTGAATTAAGGCTATATCAAGGCAATACGCACAGTATGCACATATGCCAATTAGAGACTGACAAGTTGTAGTCCTAAACATCATTGTGAAGATTCAAACAAACAATACTAAATGAATTTGATAAAATTGTTTCATAATATTCGTAATTAGAACTAAAGTCAGTGTATAGCACTGAAAGAATTATTGATGTGATTAAAAAAAGTACTCAGGTTTTGAATAAAGCATTTTATATATCTTACTTACTTACCTACTTACGCCTGTTACCCCTCGTCAAGCAACATAGGCCACTCACCAGCATTCTCCATCCAATTCTGTACGGGACTATGCTTCTCACTTATTTACACTTCCTATTCATCCTTTTCATGTCTACTTCTGATTCACGACGTAGTATGTTCATTAATCTTCCTCTTTTCCGTTTCCCTTCAAGATTCCAAGTTAGCACTTGCCTCATGATGCAGTTTGATGATTTGTTCAGTATGTGTCCTATCCACTTCCAACATCTTTTCACAATTTCTTCTTCAGCTCCAACCTGGTTTGTTCTCTCCCACAGCAGACTGTTCCTGATGATATTCGGTCAACGGACATTGCGTATCTTGTTTAGGCAAATGTTTATAAATACGTGTACCTTGTTGATGATGGTTGTAGTAGTTCTTCAAGTCTTAGCTCCATACATTTGGACTATCTTGACGTGTGTATTGAAGATAGTGACTTCGATATTGTTTGAGAGTTGTTTTGAGTTGCATATGTTCTTCAATTCAAGGAACGATGTCCATGCTTTTCCAATCTTTTCCTTTAAGTCTTCATCAGATCCTCCTTGTTCATTGATGATTCTCCCCATGTACGTGAAAGTATCCACCACTTATTTTATGTATCAGCATATCCTAATTAGTTGACATTTGTATAAGTAAAATGTTCCTTAAAAAAGTATCGTGTCAAAAGTGAAACTGATATCATCTTTTATGAATTTGAATTTTACAAAAAATTTGTCCCTCGATACACGACATACAACATGTTCTATCGAATTTGATCTGGTTTTCTCATTACTGACCTATGTTCTATCATTGTTTACATGTATATTTTGATTGTCTTCCATTAAGATTAGATTGCCAAACTTACATCGATAAGTAGTTAACTGGTTCATTAGTATATACTCAAATTTCAACATGATGAATAAGAATTTTATAGTTGAATTCATGAGTCAATTGAAGCTAGTTTATTATGAAAAACCTGGAAGCACTGGACTCCTCAGCAGTGCTCATCTATAATCCCGCCTCGCGAGACTCGAATCCGAGACATAACTGTCTCGCGCGCGAGCGCTTAACCTCTAGACCATTAAGCCAGAATTCAACGGTGTCATTGTCTAACTTCAACTCATACACCAAATCGAATGCGCGAGACTGATAGGTCCTTGGTTTGAATCTCCTGAGGCGAGATCGTGGATGGGCACTGATGAGGAATCCCACAATAGGACGAAACGATCGTCCGGTGATTCCAGATTTCCCATGATTGTCTAACTTCAATTGACTCATGAATTCAATTATAAAATTACTAAAATCTTCACAAAACCCCTTCTGATAATAATGAATAACATTTCACACTGTATACGATCAATAAAATGAATAACTATGTATGCTCATATAATTTTAACTTTTAACCTAATCATCATCATCATCATCATCATCATCATCAAATACAACTTAATCATTGATTATTATAACTTGAGCGGATAAACGATTGTTTACACTGTTTCTTCGCTTTTTCAAAGTTATCTTTACTCTAGGGTTAACTGAAATGTATCGATAGATTTTTCTTTCCTTAACAAACCTACTTATGATTTGTAAGTAAGTAGTATATATATATATACATATCAATCGTATATTTCATACACGTAATTGGAACATTTGTTTCTACTGTCAACTGATTTCTTTATTATATTACCATCTATATCAACAATCAATTGTGTATGTTTAAAAATTGAACTCTAAAAAAGTAACTTTGTTGCCAATTCAAAAAGTGTGTAATCTTTCGTTTTCCCTTTATCTATCTTTCTATCTATCTATCTATCTATATGTATTTAATGAGATATATTTTTTGTTATTATCTTATTTCTTATAAAAAATACGAGTGTTACTCATTTCTTAACTTTTCCTTCTCCTTCTCCTCCTCATCCTCCTCCTCCTCCTCCTCCTCCTCCTCCTTTTTCTTCTTCTTCTTCTTCTTCTTCTTCTTCTTCTTCTTCTTCTATCTCTATATTATACATATGAGACTATTTCGTTTGTATTGTTGTTGTTTTTAGTTGCTCAATCCTATTCTGGCATAGACCAATTACAGTTGACTAGAGAAGAAGTTTCCCTCTTTGAAATAGACATCTAATCATACAGTATACATATGATTTTAATCTCTGTATATATACAGATATATGTATGTATGTCCAAGTGTACCCTCTAAATATCAATTTAATGAGTAGTATAAATAGTTTTCCCAGAAAATTCTATATAGATACATATGAAATAGTTAGTTTATAATACATATATAAAGTTAAATTGACAATTATCACCTTGGCAACTAATTTGAACTAGTTTTTTTCTTGGATCTCTTTTCAAACAAAAAAACAAAAAAAATTATATTTAGACGTTCACCAGGATATGTGGAATCTATATTGGAAATAAACAATTTAATTCTAATTGATACCGGTGAATATTGGTGTTATGCTGAAAACGCTTTAGGATTAGCTAAAGAAAAGTTTACTTTAAAAGGTATGTTATATAAATTTTTTGATAATTATGTTGTTGTTTTTTCATAATTGAAATCATGAGTCAGTTGAAGGTAGATCATCAAGGAAAACCTGGAAGCATTGGGCGGCTGTTTCGTTCTATTGTGGCACTCCTCAGCAGTGCACATCCATGATCCCGCCTCACGAGGAGTCTCATAATAGAACGAAACGGCCGTCAAGCTGTGATTTCAGGTTTTCCATGGTAGTCTAGCTTCAATTAACTCATGATTTCAACTATGGAAATACTGAAATCTCCACAAAACCCCTTCTGAATTATGTTAATGTAGATGATTTATAGAGATCATTGTATTCTACCGTTAACACCATAGACCGATCTTAGATAACTATTAAAAGTAGGAAGTGCTGGATATGTGTTTTATACTGATATAGGACTCTACTAGTGTATATTCACTACTCATTGAGATTCTGTGTTCTGTCTATAGTGGATCGTGTATAAGAACTGCTTAGATGTATCATACTAGGGATAAGCGTTTTTTCAGTGTTTTTTGGTTGTAATGGTGAAACGTACAAATTGATTATATTGTTATCATGTGCTAGTCAAGATGTAACTCCTGGAGTTATAGTGAGGAGTCACGATCAGGGGAGTCCAATCTATGTGGATTGTGAGACAATTATCCACCTGAAGCAAAATCATGGATTGACTGAAGTTAGACACTACCACTGTTGGATGCTGGCCAAATAGTTTAGTAGTTAATAGTTCACGCGCGAGATTGAAGGTCCCGGGTTCGATTCTCGTGTGTGGAGTTGTGAATATGCGTTATCAGGAAGTCCCATACTAGGACAAAATGATGATTCAGTGCTTCCAGGTTTATAATGGTGCTCTAGCTTAGACAGACTCATGATTTCAACTGTGAAAATACTTCAATCTCCATACTGATAATCTAGAATAGCCAAGTATAAGTTATATGTATTTATCGACAATATGATGAGAAGATAGAATTGATATGAAATTGTGATTTATTTAAGCTGAACATTTGTCAAGGGTTTTCTAATCTTGAATCTATTTTAAAGCTTCTGATGGTTAGAAAAACGTCTTATATTTTCAAATTCGATCAGTTTACCTTCAAAAATCATCATTTTCACTTAACATATCAACCCATTGATATATGAAAACTACTAATTAGACTGAATATAAGTTGTGTAGACTAGAAGGAGTAGTTTGATCAGGATTAATTTATCTAAATCTTCATTCACATATTATGTATTCTGTCAAATAATATCTCAAATAGATTGTACCAGGATATATGAACCTATTCTATCTTATCTCAGTGTTTTGACAATGTACCCATGAAGATTTAACACATGATCTGAAAGTAATGAAATCATTCCCCAGATGGTTCGTAGATAGTTAAGGAGGCTAAAATAGAATACTAAACAAGTTCTAATAATCAGAAGATTTTTTGAGGTTTAGTATTTTCATACTTGAAATCATGAGTCAATTGAATTTAGACCACCATGGAAAACTTGGAAGCACTGGAAGGTCGTTTCGTCCTACTGTGGGACTCCTCAGCAGTGCACATCCACGATCCCGCACTCGCGAGCGAGATTCGAACTCAGGACCTACCAGCCTCGCGCCAAAGCACTTAATCGACAGACCACTGAGCCGGCTGGTATCCAACGGTGTTAATGTCAAACTCCAACCAATCCACAAAATTGAGCAATCGTTCATCAATCGTCTTCAGTGAGTTCCTAACTCACAACAGATGTGGTTTAAACTTCACAGGTCACTGTTTCTCACTAGAACTCCGTGATTTTCCTCTTGAAGCCAGTCACAAGTGAGCATATGATTATTATTATCAGAAAGGGGTTTTGGTGGAGATTTAGCATTTTCATAGTTGAAATCATTAGTCAATTGAAGCTAGACCACTAAATGTATTTTTTTCTTTAATGATTCTAAAACAAAAGTCGACTAACTCATGTCAAGAACATTCATCTTCCAAGGATTAAAAATTACTGACCTCTAGAAACCAAAACAAAAAGGAAAGCCAACAACAACAATAACACACTAGAGTTACTTCTTTATTTTCAAGGTTAATTTATTTTTAGTTTATAAATAAATTTAATCTTGAATTCAACAACAAAAGATCAATGAACCATTCTCCAAACCAACTATTCTCTCCTCTTAATTCCTTATTCAACTTAGTAACCATGTATCATACCAAAATAAATTGCCTTAACATTTATCACCACCCTTCTTATCTTTAAAAAAAAAAAGAAAAAAAAAGGAAAGAGAAAAGAAAAAAAAATGACACAAGGATTTATCATCACTACTGATAAACTTTAATCAGTATAGTTTTATCTATATACAATATATTATAGATGAGTCTTCGTATTTTTCTAATATAATCCTATATAAGTAGATAGGATTAAAACAAAAAAAAAGATTTTTTATTTATCATGGACTTAGTCTTAGTAACTGGATTGTATATTGTAATTGGCGCGTGTTCGAAAGGGGTACATACACACATACACGCACACACACACACATATACATTTGTCTTTTGTGGACATTCTTCAGTGATGAAGAATTACTTCGGTGGGAATAAATTCATTATAAAAAAAAAAGCAAAAAAAAAGAGAAGGAAACAAAGAGCCATATCCCTTATTAATGCATATTCTTTTTTTCTAAAAAGAACATTTTTCAACAACAAACTAAATTAACAAAGATAAATGAGGATAAGTTTTACGATTAATTCAACAAAAAGGTAAAAAAAAGAAAAGGCAAAACAAGAAATAGATAGAGAAATGATGAAACTAGAGGAATAACTTATACCTGTTGCCCTTCGTCAAGGAGCATAGGCCGCTGACCAACATTCTCCAACCCACTTAACAATAGGCCTTTCTTTCTAATGTTATCCAGTTGTTGTTCATTCTTCTGATATCTGTTTCTATTTGTTGGCGTGATGTGTTCTTTGGTCTTCCTCTTTTCCTTCGGCTTTCAGGATTCCATGTTAGAGCTTGTCTTGTGAAGTAGTTGGGGTTATTCAATAATAGAAAACAAAAAAATAAGAATGAATCTATTTAAAAGTTTAGAAATTCTATGATAGTATGATGATATTCAAGGATATTCAAGGATAACTTACTTATTTTGAAGCTTAAATATTTTAAACTTAAGCTTTGATAAATCTATTGATAAACACTAATGAGATGTTCCATATACTAGAAAGAAACATTTATCCAATACACTGTGGTTTACAACCGTTCACCATCACAAGTTATTTAATATACTTACTGTTATGCTTGAAACTAAATCGATTCCGCGGTAACGAACGAAAGCCAATGACACAATGACACGATAAGCTATTCTAATCTGTTGTCCCAGTCCCCGCTAACTAGATGAAGAAGTCCAAGGCAAGTAGGGGAATATATATGTATTCCGTAAGCAGCCGAGTACAAGCAATCGAATAAGGGAAAAAGTCAAGCGCATTTATACAACAACAATTTGTCCTTGAGCATCATTGGTAAAATAGCACACACAAAGAAACAATGGACCAATAGCGTTTAAGATAGTTTACAGGTGGGAAATATGACGTGAAGGTAAAAAGAGCGCTTTTGGCGCGAAAACAGCTAAATTCAAATTTTCAAAATAAAACTACAAGATTAAGCCATTTACCAAGTAAGTTCTGGGGATTTGACATCCTCAACACTTACTTGCTTAAATATACCTGTTATCCATCGTCAGGGAGCATAATCCACTCACCAGCATTCTCCATCCAACTATGTGCTGGACAATCCTTCCCAGTTATTTACACTTCCTATTCGTTCTCTTCATGTCTGCTTCCAATTCACGATGTAGTATGGTTATTAATCTTCCTCTTTTCTGTTTCCCTTCAAGATTCCAAGTTAGGGCTTGCCTTGTGATACATTTTGATGATTTCATCAATACGTGTCCTATCCACTTCTAACATCTTTTCCCAATTTCCTCTTCAGCTGGAAAGGATAATTCAAATGTGTCTAATTTCTAGAAAGATATACAAGTACACTAAATTAGTTGTAAAGAATCTATTATCAACATTTATTTTACTAGGTAGTTATGTAATCTTACGTAAGGCTTAATGAAATGTTTTCAAAAATGTCATCAATAGTTCTAATTATTGCATCATATGAATTACATAGATATATACTTGAAACCATTAGTATCACGTGAAATGATCAAAATAGAAGGTTTTCTATTTTAAGTAATCATGACAATTCAATCTAATGATTACATAACTGGCAATATATTTATATAGAATTGAGATTGTCAGTTAAATCATGTCAGTTTTCAATATGAATATAGCCTCTTATCAATTATTCTGAGAAATATTGAAGCTAGACCATTATGGAAAACCTGAAAGCACTGCTTGACGGCCGTTTCATTCTATTGTGGGACTCCTCAACAGTGCATATCCACGATCTCGCCTCACGAGATTCGAACCCAGGACCTACCAGTCTTGCGCCAGAGGTAACTGTAAAATCATTTATTTCGTTGTGTTGACTGCTTATTGTATTGTCTCACTGTCATTGAATCCAAATTGGAGTTTCAAAAGAAATCAAATACACTACCGTCAGTTTTATTATTAATAAGATCATTAAAGTGTACTGCTAAATTTTGTACTTAGTCAGTAGAATTCGATCATAACTCAGTGTTCTGTTCGAACATATGTACATCTCTATCATACAGTCAGTCACGGCATGAACAATGTAGTGGTATAGACTCTCGTTAAGGAACTGGGTAAGGTTGTTCAAATTCTATCACGAGTATAAGTTTCTTTAGGATTTCAGACACGATGTGATGATAATAGCTAACTAGTACAAAACCTAGAACCGGGATTTCTTACCCAATACCTTTGATGAAATAACATCCGAAAGTAGTGTAAGCTTTGTTGATTAACTTAAACTACTTGTCACATTACAACTTGATCAATAGCATTTGACCAAGACTACTAGGAATGGGCAAAAATAACATTCATCACTCTTATTTACTACATCACTGTCCAGTTGTTCCTAGCTATGACTACAAAAAGCTAACCAGTTCACCCTACTTATAATTATACCTCAACTGAGATCAATATCACTTACAAATTAAAATAATCTCCATAGAATCAGTTCATTTAAAATGTGATAATTAGCTACTTCTCACATTAAATTTAATTGTAAAGTAAGGTAGAAAAGATTCTAAAACTTTATATGAAACACTTTAGAATAAGCAACTCAACAAAATATAGAATAGGTTCCTTTTACTTTGTCAAAATCACTTTTCTTGTTCTCATCAAGTTAATAAAAAGGAAATATGTGTCTAAAATATCAAGTATGTATTCGGATATACTATTTTATGTTAGTAGGGATTTAATAAATCCGCCTGTAGCTCCTCTGAGGGTTACTGCCGGGTAAAGGAGAAGGATTAGGCATGGGGTTAGAGATCCCATCCTGTGGAAAAACTAACTCGCTAAAAGAATACTAACTAGAAAAAATAATTCAGACCATTTGAACTCTGCCCTGGGAGTTGAAGGAATAAGCAGATATGAAAAAAATGAATAACAACTGCAAAAGATTGCCCAGGACAGAGTTGGGTGGAGAATGCTGGTGGGCAGCCTATGCTCTTCCAAGAGGAGTAACAGGCGTAAGCAAGTAAGTAAGTAAGGGATTTAATAGATGATTTGATGCATAGTGTCGATGACTGAAAAGTGTGTTATCATATTTAATGCATACTTAACAACTTACTTCCTTACGCCTATTACCCGTCGTCAAGGAGCATAGACTGCTCAAAAACATTCTCTATCCAACCAAACCTATCCTCGACAATCCTTTTCACTTGTTTTCACTTCCTATTCATAATTTTCATATCTGCTTCCCACTTTCGACGTACTATGTTCATGAATCTTTCTCTTTTCCGTTTCCCTTCATGATTCCAAGTTAATGCTTGCATCCTGATGAAGTTTGATGATTTCCTCAATGTATGTGCTTTCCAATTTCAACATCTTTTCACAATTTCCTCTTCGGCTGTAAGTTGGTTTGTCTTCTCTAACAGTAGACTGCTGCTGATGGTATTTGGTCAAAGGACATTGAGTATCTTGTGTAGACAACTGTTTATCAATACTTGTACCTTGTTGATGATGGTTGTAGTAGTTCTCCACGTTTTAGCTCCATACATTTGGACTGTCTTGACGTGCATGTTAAAGATAGTGACTTCGATATTGTTTGAGAGTTGTTTTGAGTTGCATATGTTCTTCAATTAAAGGAATGTAGTCCTTACCTTCCCAATCCTCGCCTTTACATTTGCATCAGATCCTCATCATTCATCGATGATGCTACCCAGATTTGTGAAACTTTCCACCTCTTCTAGAGTTCCTCCGTCAATTTTGATTGGATCAGTGTTCTCCGTGTTGTATTTGAGGATTTTGCTTTTTTCCCTTTTGTATGTTGAGCCCTACTGATACAGAGACTGCTGCTACACTAGTTGTCTTCATCTACATTTGTTGGTGTGTATGAGATAAAAGAGCCAGTTCATCTGCAAGGTCCAAATCTTTTAATTAATTCTGATTTGTCCATTGTATTCCTTGTTTCCTCTCAGTTGTTGTAGTCTTCATAATCCAGTTGAACACCAGAAGAAATAGAATGGAAGAGAATATGAAGCCTTATTTGACTTCAGTCCTTACTTGGAATGCATCTGTTAGCTATATATTTCTAAAATTATTTTAGTTTTTAATTTTTTATGTTACTCACAATCCTTTCAATTTCACGCCTCATCTACCGTAATTAAACATGAATAGATGAATCTATAAACCCTAATGGTTTCTTTCCAATCTCTTATGAAAAAACCTTATCAATATCCTGTTCTCGATGGTGACTAGTTCGTTGTTGAATTGCCTTCATTTTTCAATGACACAATGAATCCGTTTCATTATGTCTCAATAAATTTAATTTTGAATAGATGCAAACAATCTTTGTAACAACATAGAATTACATTTATCTGTCATGGATCATTCATTAGATCCTGGTAGCGTCTTTCAATCAATATACAGACCTAAAAAAAACAGCGAGCATCTACATTACGTAGGGATGGCGGCTATTCATAGTCGAAATCACAAATTTTGTAGCCTAACCTAGCACTATCATAGTCACTGATTCACCAGTGCACTCTTTTGCATTCTTTACCTCAATTTTGTCTATATAACCACATTTTTATTTTTACTATAAACACATATCAGTTCTTCATTTTAGACCAGTTTGCATTTAGAATATATAGGTCTTCAAACTAATCCTATTACTTTAGGATTATTCAATCAAATGTTTGATCCTATTATTAATTAGTAATTCGGGAGTTCAATGTCTTTCATTTCCTTATTTATTCTTTAACTATTTTCTTAATCATAAGTACCATTATAGAGGAGAAAACATCGGTTGGGGACAATCGAATTACAGACTATCTCAGTAAATTCTGAAAACCATACAATGAACAGCCAATTTGCAAATTAAAAATCATTTGTTTCAATCTTCACTGTTTCTTCTCTAATTCCACTGCTCATGCATTTTCCAAACGATTGCGCTTCATATCAGTTCTTCCCTCGTCGGTCTTCTGCCAAAATACATTCTATGTCTGACCCACACCATATACTACTTATATGGATATAAGTAGACCACACAACACCATTATCTCTACAATTATAAACATTACACTGTGATTATTTTAGCAATTACTATCCCTTTCATTTTTTCTTCTAGCGTAATCATGTCAATTAGTGCACGTTTCTTATGATCAATCTTCCTTTTTGATCTGTTGATGTATTCATTGAGGTTGTATTGTGATGTGTGCTACTGATTTCGATAGATATAAGTAGTATGTATCATTATTCGAAAGTGATATATCTGAAGGCGGAAGGTTAAGATCAAAGAAAAGAGAAGGAGAACAAAGAATGATGGAAATGAAAGAACGATGAAGTTTGAGACGATTGATTGATATTTAGCAAATGAAGTATTTACTGTATGATTCTCAGATTTTACTAAGTGATTCTGTAATTTTGTATTCAAATGCTTTCGATTGTCCCCACTTGTATTCTCGTTCACTACAGTATGATTATGGAAAGTATTTAAAGCCATTTCTTTTCACTCCTGAACTATTTATTTTTTTAAATTTTATTTAAACACATAAATATTGATACAAGAAAGCACCAGATACATATATGCCGCACAAATCTCATTTGATTTGTGTGAGGGCTGTGATACTGCCCAGGTGCCCAAACTGAAGCAGGTGGTTCGCTTAACAGACCACACCCGGAACCTTAGATCTAGAGGTCTGATCCATAAGACAGTGAAGTATCATGAGGAGATGCAGTCCCATGGTAGTCAGTGACCAATGATTGATTCACACGCAATTTCTTCCCTCAGGATGTTGGAGCCAATGTACACCATTGGTTTGGAATAAGGGTTTTCCAACTCCCCTAGGTGGACTCGCCGTGTCCACTAACCCGGTTAAAGCATCAGACATTCGCTTTTCGTCATCTAAACGTCGTAAGCAACACCCTCGTCACGAGAAGGTAGTGAGCAGGACTTACCTGGCAGAGGCTATGTACGCGTGGCTATGTGAGAGCATTTCGAGAGGGAAAGCGGACTCTCCTCATTCTCGACAGTACCAGGGCATTGATACATGTTCTATATAAAAATTATATTTGTAAAGCATTTTGACTAGTTTTATATGTTTATGGAAGATTGAGAGTGAACACAAAAAGATTGAATAATTTCACTTCAGCTCACGATGTCAGTTGTTCTTACCTGACAAAGATCTTGAATTAGTTACAACTGACTAGTGAACAATATCACGTATCCCGAAACCTTTTTGTAGTAGCGATCGAATTCATTCTGAATTCTCATCTCAAGTTATTGCATCTGATTTCAACTTACTCAGACTAGTGGCTACTTTGCAACTTGATGGCTTGAATTCAATCAAAAATGAGTAATATTCAGTGATCAATATATTGTAAATTTATCACATTCCTATAGGATAGTCAGTTGTAACACGAATAGCTTAGTAGTAATATTTTAAACTGTAAAGCTGAGCATCAAGTGCTCGAAACCGCCCAGGATCATTAGTTTCTCAAAATAACAGTAACAACTGGCTGAAGAGTGTCGAATAGAGATTCCTATCGACTACCTTCGACTACCTACTTGAATATATTTTGTGAACTTGGATTTCATCATATTCAAAATAAAACGTAAACAATAGTTGACAAAGCTAGTGATATCTTTCACTTACTTACTTACTTACGCCTGTTACCCCTTGTGGAGGAGCATAGGCCGCTAGTGATATCTTGTAATTAATAACATTTAGACAGTCAGTTTTTCTTTTCTGTTTTATTTTCCAGTTCAATCAAACAATAGAACAGAAGAAAAATTAATGGGTAAGCTAATATCATTTCATAACTATAAAAATGTAAACAGATTGTATTAATAATGCTTTCATACACTTTATCAACATTATATGCCCAATCTGTAGTCAGTTAGATAAAGTGATCACATGAATAGCTAGAATTCAATCACCACTAAGAGTAACTGTTACTAGTCCTAGGTTAGTTGGGATAAATATAAACATAATGGACATTGAATGAAACAACAATGAACCTAAAGCATTTTTGTATGTTTGAGAACATCAACCTAATTATACTTCATGGAGAAACTTTGGAAGATGTGGAAACAACCACATACCTGGGCAATATCATCGATAAGTAAGGTGGATCTGGTGCGGACTTAAAGGAAAGAATTAAAGAAGTAAGTGGAGCATTCATACAGTTTAAGAACATATGCAACTCAAAACAATTCTAAGCCAACATCTAAGTCACAATCTTCAACATACAGCTGGAACGTGGAGAACTACTACAACCATCATCAACAAGGTACAAGTATTGATAAACAGTTGTCTACACAAGATACTCAATGTCCTTTGACCAAATACCATCAGCAGCAGTCTACTGTTAGAGAAGACAAACCAACTTACAGCTGAAGAGGAAATTGTGAAAAGATGTTGAAATTGGAAAGCACATACATTGAGCAAATCATCAAACTTCATCATTATGCAAGCATTAACTTGGAATCATGAAGGGAAACGGAAAAGAGAAAGATTAATGAACATAGTACGTCGAGAGTGGAAAGGAGATATGAAAATTATGAATAAGAAGTGAAAACAAGTGAAAAGGATTGTCGAGGATAGGTTTGGTTGGATAGAGAATGTTTTTGAGCAGTCTATGCTCCTTGACGAGGAGTAAAAGGTGTCATTAAGTGTTGTTGTCTGTTTACAATCTCTTTAAATCTAGTACTTACTAATTTTTTTAAAAATTTGTAAAGATTTTCTGATATGGCGTGTGTTATAGTCATGATTAATCATTTTGGTGAATAAATAATCTGATCCTCATAGCAACTGAGAATATGATTATAATTTGCACATGACAGTCTGAAAATAATGAATCCACAGAGTGAATGATAGATTTATTTGACATAAGAAGAAGGATGAAATGGGATTGGATTGAATAGACATAAGTTTAGTCAATTTTCGTACTTCAAACATGCATGTTAATTCAATAGTCTGACCAACTTCATTAGGAATACAACCATTAGACTAGATGAAAATACCATTTTTTAAAAACTAAATCCTGAAAGTTTAAGGTAGTCACTAACAAACAAAAAGATCATTAGTTCTGCCTTTGGTTGAGTTTTTTGTTCACAATGTTGAAGAGCCACAATAACTGTCCAATAATACTTGATCTTTAATGGTTCTCCATAGTTAAGAATAACATCAACATGTGAGACGAAGCACTACAAGTTCCCTCTCTAACAAAACTATTATATTCTTTGTTCAGAAGTATTTATATAGATGCTTAGATGATAAGGAAAACTAAATAAAATCTAAGAATACAGGTTTACTGACCATTGGTTGTTGTAATTTCATTTAGTGAAAACTGATGAGATAATCTTGTAGAAACTTAGATAAGTTACATGACGGAAATCAGGTAGTTTAAAGTAGTTGAAGGGGAATGCCTTGGATCTAGAATTCATTCTATTTAGTAGTTGTTAGCCATGAATATCTAATACCATGTGATAATTCAAATGATTGCTATGAAGATTCTGATTTATTTAAACTTGCTTACTTACTTCCTTACGCCTGTTACTCCCAATGAAGCATAGGCCTCTGATCAGCATTCTCCAACCCACTCTACAATCGGCCTTCCTTTCTAGTTCTATCCAGTTTTTGTTCATTTTTCTCATGTCTGTCTCCGTTTCTTAGAGTAATGTATTCTTTGGTCTTCATCTACTTCTCTGGCCTTCAGGATTCCATGTGAGGGCTTGTTTTGTGACGCAGTTGGGTGCTTTCCTCAATGTGTGTCCTATCCACTTCCAGTGCTTCTTCCTGATTTCTTCCTCCGCTGAAATCCGGTTCGTTCTCTCCCACAGTAACTTGTTGCTGATAGTGTCTGGCCAACGGATTCGAAGTATCTTGTGTACACAATTGCTAACAAACACCTGTATCTTCTAGATGATGGCTTTCGTAGAACTGTCTTAACATTTGTATTGAAAATTCTAACATTGGTGTTGGTTGACAGTTGTTTTGTGTTCCAGATGTTCTTCAGTTGTAAATATGCTGCTCTTGCTTTTCTGATCCTCGCTCTCACATCTGCATCAGATCTACCGAGTTCATCAATGATGCTGCCCAGATATGTAAAGGTTTCCACATTCTCCAAAGCTTCTTGGTCAAGTGTAATTCGATTGATTCATGTTGTATTGTATCGGAGAATCTTGCTTTTCCCTTTGTTTATATTGAGATCTACTGCTGCTGAGGCTGCTGCTACACTGGTCGTCTTCTCCTGCATTTGTTGTTGCGTGTATTATAGAAGAGCTCCTCCGGGGGCTACTGCCGGTCACAAGCCCGGGTAAAGGAGGAGGGTTGTGCATTGGGTTAGCGACCCCACCCTGTAGAAAACCAACTCGCTGATAAAACGCTAACCAGATTTATTTAAACTACTTAATACAATGCAAGTTGATCGATAATATTCAGTCATTAATACTTAGGTTAAACAAACATAATACATTGATATCAATTGAGCAATGATTTCGTGCATACAGCATACAACTGTTTAGCTTATTTTTATTCATTTGTTTTATTGATTTAATGAAATAACTAGTTGATGAATTGATACCTTGTTCAGACGAGGATAAAGATTACTGTCTTAATGGTGGTCAATGTTATACGTATAAAAATGAAAGAGTATCATTTCAATGCAGGTAAGTGTTGATTCTTCTTCTTCTTCTTCTTCATAAATCGTTTCCTTTTTTTTTAAATGATGGATATTTTCTCTTATTAACGCTAGAATAGCTTTTATTCTACAATTGTAATGCTTTCAGCTGCAAAAATGTTTACATAATTTCGGCAGTTGTTATAACTTATGGCCTGTGTATAACGTGATAATATCGCCAATTAGAGAACAGTGAATTATCGATCGAACCAATGACGCATAAAACCCATGCGAGCAGTCTCGTGTACTTGTCGGTCCTGCTTTCTGCCTAGCCCAGCCAGTTAAGTCCAGAACATCCATCTCATTCTCTGATGTATGAATCGTTATATTTCAAACATACTGAGTTTATATACCAATCAAACAGACTACACCGTACCAGAAAATAGGAAACAACATTTGTACAAGATTCAGCCAAATGTGACTGTGAATAGCGTTAGCGTTTTCTTAGCGAGTTGGTTTTCTACAGGGGGGGGTCGCTAACCATATGCTCAACCCTCCTCCTTTACCCGGGCTTGGGACCGGCAGTAGCCCCAGGGTGACGTTGACTGTGAATATAGGAGATAGTAAATGATAGACAGGGCATAACTCAATAATGGTAAAGCGTATAATAATAGATCATAGGTCAAAATAAAGCTCATAATAAGAGGGACATGAATATGAATAGTTTAGTTGTTTAACAATTATACGATAAAAATGTAGTGTTGGTCCATAAGGGGATTCCATAATTTACCATTCATTATCCTCTTCGGGACGTAACAACAGTCATATTAACATTTTAAAGTTGACTTTTAGTTGATATAAGTTTGACAAAGTAAACTCACTAGTGAGATTAAATGGTCATTTCATTATATGACAAACTGACTGTAGCTGAACAGCAAATCACTGGATTCAAATGGATTATCTACTAGAAGGTTCTTGATTTTATCTTCTGAGTAATGATGGATTATTACTACATATATATTTTACCAGAAGATCATTATCTTAAGAATACGGAAATACAACTATAATATGGATAAATAGCATCTTATAATCTAATACTGTTGATCATGATATATTGTAAACGTTGAAGAATTAAACTTACAACCGACGGTAATTCTGTGACATAATAGTTGGAGTTATAAGAAATGATGGAAATATCTACCTACATATGTTTCTTGTTAATGAACACAGTTAGAGTAATTTCTGACTGGGCTGTTTTTATTCACGTTGGGGTGTGCGCTACTGATGTTGATAGATATAAGTAGTATGTATCATTATTCGAAAGTGATATACCTGAAGGCTACTACTACCATCACCACTAAATTAACTACTTCTATGGATTCGGTGTTCATCTTGTTGTGCTAACGAGGTATAGCAACTTGGACTGATGCATAAATGTGCTTGGTCCTACATTATAGCTGACTGACTAACTGACTGATGAACAACGAAACAGTCATCAATTAAGTAGTATAATAAAATCAACTCAATAATTTTATATTCTAACTATTTACTGTTATTTCAAAAAAAAATTTACGAAAAAATATAAAGGTGTCTCGATCATTATTTCGGTGACCGATGTCATTTTCATACTGATGGATTATATGGTAAGTAAATGATGTTTGTCTAACAAATTGTTACTACCGCATCTTCTAGCTTTATCTAACAACATTTATCAACATACTACTTATTAACATCATAATCCTAAACATATATTAAAGTAGGAATAATAGTTCCTAACTATCTAACTGACTACTATTAACAAAATGATTCCTTGGTGAGACTATAATTTGTGGACGACTTTTTAAGAAACACTATAAATAACCTTAGAATGTTCACCTACTTAATAAGGTCAGTATGAGGAATTAAGATTAAGATTTACGATTGTTGAATGTTAAAGTTAGGAATTAGATTTAATGTTTTCTTCACCAACTCATATCAGGCAAGATGAACATTAAACAAATGAGTAAATGAATTTTCCGCCAAAATCCAAAAAAACACACAATTATCTTCAATCTGATTGGTTCGTTCATAAATTCTAGTATCACAGATTAATTTTCATTGGTCAATCCAAATATTTCTTATAACATGGTGATTAATTCATTTTTCTTTTGTTTTCCATTTTTGTCTACAATAATATTGCCAATATTGTTTATTTTTCATTATGAATGACAATTTGTATACATCTCATTCCATATTTAAATTTTCTCCCCCCCCCTCCACCCTCCAAATTTACGCTCATGTATATATTGGTTTAATTACCAATGTGTTACATTGTTTAAATAACCATGGCAACAAACAAACACACACATATACGTTTACACAAACATACAAATGATTATTTAACAATTATCATAAAAAATTTCAGTTGTTATACACCATATTTTGGTTCAAAATGTGAACGTGTGGCAGTTGATTTAAAGGAATATAAATGTGGGTTTTCAATGTTTTTCATTGTTTGGTTGTTTTGTTTGTTTTTTTTTTAAAAAAAGGGGGTGTTAAATCAATCTATAATGCTTTCCTATCGTGATTAACATTAACCTTTTGGTGTTAATTTTGATGATACTAAATGGTTTGTTATCAATCTACGAAATCACGTCACCATTCATCATTGTCTTCAGTGAGTTACTGCCATAGAATAGACACGGTTTGACTTCACATATCACTACTTATCACTAGAATTCAAGAAAATACTTCTTGAAGCTAATCCAAGACCGAAGATCCAGGGGTTGAATCCTGTGAGTAGGATCGTGGATGTGCACATGCTAAGGAGTCTCGTACTAGAATAGAACGTCCATTCAGTACTTCCAGGCTTTCTAGTAGTAATCTATCTTTAATCGACTAATGAATTCAACTATTAAATTACTATAATCTCTACAATACTCCCTTTCTGATGAAAAGGAAATATTTAAAATTTATTATTGACAATATTTAATATGACTTTGTAAAACATAATGTAAATTCTATGTACTGAATCATGATGCGATCTTTCATAATAAATGGCGAAAATTTTAGATTTTCTGAAAGTTATCAGTTTGTTAGACCATTGGAGGTAGTTGACAGAAAATCCTAGACCCAGGTTTTGTATTGCTTGATTCCAGTCAGTAAACTGACTGGAGTGGCTTCGTTTTAACGTCTTAAATTATGAAACTGAATGATATGGGTTCGAATTCAGTAGGAAACGCCAAGTCCCTTTAAGATCAAAGTTATGTTCTGCTGATGAGTACTAATTAGCATGAAAGATAGGTCCAAGGTTTCCTGCCAACTACCTCTAACTAACGAACATCTCGATATAGTTTGCTCAATGTTAACTTGCAATGATCAGATTGTAATTTGATCGGTAAAATTTTATCATCAATAAAGAATGTGGCAAACAAGACGCCAGTAAACACTCAGTGATCAAACAATTATAGACATCAGTCTTATTGAATTTCATATGAAACACAAAGTCATGAGTTATTATCACACTAGAAATGAACCAATACTTTGAGCTTAAACCACATACTTCTCTTCAATAGCTTTAAATTTGGTAAGCTGGAGAAGTCTAAGCATCTGTTCTCACATTCCCATCCGAAAGCCTAGGAGTAGATGAAATATTATAAACGAGAAACGTTATCAGAGAAGTCTAACTGTAATTCTACTCAAGGTCTTCAGTCTATATGTCCTTGTCTAGGTCAGAAGGGGAAGTGCATAGATACCAATGCTTTGTATACCTATTCGTAAAATTTGCTAACTAATTATCCCTCCAATCTTCTAACTCACAGAGTAGGTTGAGTAGGTATCTATAAAGCATGTCTACCTGAATAGAACGATCTCAAAATGTGACAAAAGTATCATGTGAAAAGCATGGTTCAAAAGTTTTCAAATCAGACTAAGATACTATCCACTGCTTTATGGATTTTCTTTTAATCAGTTCAACAACTAATGTCATTTCATAATGAAAATAAACTTCAGAGAATATATTATTATATAATACTAGAATAAACTACTCATATTTTCATGGTAAGCAGAGATGGATAGTGGCTAGCAGTGGAATCCAGGACGCGCGTTTCGTCCTATTTGGGACTCGTCAGCTGGATGTACCTGCATCTCAGAGTTGATGTTCACTCTGGGACTCGAACCCAGTACCCTCGCTTCAAACGCCATCGCGTTATCCACTCGGCCACTGAGTCCTGATAGCCACTTGCTTGTGCGATGGGGTGAAGTTTGAATTCACTTAGTATTGTTTGTTTGGATCTTCCCATCGATGTGTTTAGGACTGCAACTGGTCAGTCTCTAATTGGCATATGTGCATACTGTGCGTATTGCCTCGATATACCTTAATTCACAAGCATGGTAAGCAGAGATGGATAGTGGCTAGCAGTGGAATCCAGGACGCGCGTTTCGTCTTATTTGGGACTCGTCAGCTGGATGTACCTGCATCTCAGAGTTGATGTTCACTCTGGGACTCGAACCCAGTACCCTCGCTTCAAACGCCATCGCGTTATCCACTCGGCCACTGAGTCCTGATAGCCACTTGCTTGTGCGATTTCAGTAATCAAACATGTGAATATACATTTGTCAACATTATGTACTTTATAGGTTAGCAAGGGGCAAATGTATTTAGATACCAACTTTCAGTTGTTTTCAGCTTAAAATATACATTAGTAATAGGCTCTTTTGATTCACTGTTTGTAATTACTGACTTACTTACGCCTGTTACTCCCAGTGGAGCATAGGCCACCGACCACCATTCTCCAACCCACTCTGTCCTGAGCCTTCTTTTCTATTTCTATCCACTTGTTGTTCATTCTTCTTATGTTTGTCTCCATTTCTCGGCGTAATGTGTTGTTTGGTCTTCCTCTTTTCCTTTGGCCTTGAGGATTCCATGTGAGGGCTTGTTTTGTGATGCAGTTGGGTGCTTTCCTCAATGTGTGTTCTATCACTACATAAACAAACGGGTACATAAAATAATGAAAGTATCTAAATACATGTACTTTGATTTCAAAAAGAAGATAAGAATCTGTCATGAGAGAAATCTTTCACTATTCAAAAAACACCCCACAAGATTTAGAAACTAATTTATTAGTCTTTTTTCTCATCTAATTGGTTAAGTTCCAAATCTGCGACCAATTTCAGCATCTCTTTGAGATGTTTTTAAAATCTCCAGCACAATTATAACCCAACTGAAATCTTTCGTTTACTGTACATTGGCTGACCTTGTAAACAAAGCTTTCTTCACATATTCTGCCTTCCAGTTTACTTCAAGGCTCGTATATCACAAACTGTAGGAGTTTTTTTAAAATTGGTAACCTTTTAGTGTAATGAACTGATCGATCATAACAATTAAAACCTGATACTTGACCAGAAGCTTAAAATAACTCTTCCTGCTTCTACATATAAAACAATGAGCCTTACTCATAAACCATTTCAAAGATATTTCATCCACTCGAAATAAAGATCTGATTACTGTACTGGCATTAATTGAGAGTAATCGAATGTATGTAAATCGGGCGCATTCTAAGTTCCTTTAAAACAAGGTTTCTTCATTATTGTTTGGAAAAGTTAATGAGTTTTTCAATACCTATTTTCAAAAAATGAAGTTTAGTTTTTGATGGAATTTTGTTCTCTGAGCTGGATAGTTTCTGTCGTGGATCTTTCATCGTCCTTCTGAACAACATCATCAGCACAAACTTCGAGTAGAGAGAAAAACTCCATCAAATTCACCCACCTGAGCTACAAATCTTCTCCACCATCTCGAAATGAAGTTTCGTTCTAAATGGATTCAATATCCATTAGGTGGAAGTAATTGAATAGTTTAAATTTTGTTCGTAGGAATATTATCCAGTTCATAAATTAATGTCTAAAAACTATTGTTTAAATCAAATGAATTTTGTGAACCCGATCCAAATATTAGGGATCACTTTTTTCCAATCAGATCAACTATTTGTTAGTAAATTTCAATACCAGAAAGGGCTTTCGTGGAGATTTTTAGAATTTTATAGATGAGATCATGAGTAAATTGAAGCTAGACTACCATGGAAAATTTGGAAGCACTGGACGGCCATTTCGGCATACTGTTGGATTCCTCAGCAGTACGCATCCACGATCTCGCCTCACAAGATTCAAACCCAGGACCTACCAGTCTCGCGCCAGAGCACTTTACCTCTAGACCACTGAGCTGATCGGCATCCAACGGTGTTAATGTCTAACATCAACCAATCCACGAAATCGCGCGACCATCTTCCATTGTACTGTGGTAGATACCTGTCTCTACCTGACATGAATTAGCTCCACTGGTCATGACTTCTCGGTAGAACTCCAGGAATTACCTCAAGGAGCCAGTCACTAATAAGCATATGATCATTATCAGAAGGGGATTTCGTGGATATTGTTGTAATTTTATAGATGAGATCATGAGTCAATTGAAGCTAGACCACCATGGTTAAGAAACGTTCATTAATGGGAAAGAATTTTCGTATGTATTATACTATAGATAAGTTGTATAGTTCTCCCTACTTCTGTATACTCTGTTGATTTTAATATGATTTGTGATAGTTTGAATTATCCTGTTGTTAATATGATGACTGAATTTCAGCTTTATTTTAGTTTTAGAAGTGGTTTTATATCAACGAACAAAATTGTTAGTGATATTTGGCGCCTTATTTGTGTTTTCAACAATATTATTAGGGGCTATATTAGTTATTATTTGGTAGGTGGGGATATGTAATTTACTAATATTTGCATGAGTATAAAATCAAATGGATTGACCACTTCTTTTAATGCTGATGGCCCTTGAAATGCATTGCTTAGTTGATGTTGTCCACGATATATTTTACTGTTGTATTTATGTTACTGTGATTTATTTAAGTAGTATATCTTTTCTTATCTTTTCTTATTCTGAATACGATCATTTCACTAAAACGCTTGGTTGTAGCTTCCACCAAACTTCGCGCTTTATCAGGGTTGTCAAATATGTTATAGTATTTCTCATTCAAATACCAATGATCTTTTTCTTTACAAACTGGTGCCTTTTCTTTGGTTTCATTTTAAAGACAGTATTTTCGTTTCAAAAGTTTATATCATAATCATTACTTATTCTACATTAAGTATGTTTAAATTTTCATATTAACCTACCCATTAACTATTTGTGAGGAGGTTTGTTCTAATTAAACATGTCTAGAGACGATACAATATTATGTGCAGGTTTTGGACTGACTTCAACTATGTGATGATTAAGATATCTGGGATTTTACATGTATTGCTGAAGACTAGGTCGTTCGAACAACATACTCAACGTAAACTAGCTTAGCTTGTGTTCATTTAAGCTTATAGCTCGTTCACTTCAATCATAAAAGGACTATGGAACATTGAGAAATCTCAATTCACTAATTATTCTTATATATCAACTTGCGTCATATGTGGCGTATGGGAAGTGTCCATCTGATAATCAAAGGAAGATTATTAGCTCTATATTAATCCATAGCTTTAGAATATGACCTGCAGGTTTTTAATTATAGATAGCTTCGGAGCACTTCCCATGTATACAGGGACAAACAGGTGAAGAGTACTGACATCAGAATAGGTCACTACTAGGGGAATGTGGAACGTCGGTCTCTGAGATTGTGAATCTTCTTCAGTCTAGGTAGTTGGGATATATTTTACGTAGACCACCACCTACCTGGACTCTTAATGATGGTCCAAGGTCGCAACAGGCCGTGAAATCATTGACTGTTTGACTGAGTTATGTTAGTGAGTGCGAAGTCGGTCACGATGGTCCAGATGCAATTACTCTTTATCTTCCTATAGATATTGAGTTCCAGTATTCCTTTATACATATCTTTCCATCAGTTCTCGTAACTTATCCTCAATGTTTAATCTTTATTATTATTATCATTATTTTAAGTCCTTTACTCATCCTTCTCGATAATTTTAACTCGTTGTCGTGGTTTGTTACGATAACCGATTAACCCATATCAGTCTCAGTTTGTACATTGGTTATGACATATTAATGCAGTATATCACTGAAAGTAATCATGAATTCGGCAGTCAATATCAGCATCAGGTTTTGATATAATTATGGTAGATTACTGTTGTTTCTTATCAGAATAGGGTTTTGTGAATATTATAGTAATTTTTAATAGTTGAATTCATGAGTCAATTAAGGCTAGACGACCATAATTGAGCAATGAATTCAACTATTAAAAATTACTACAGTATCCACAAAACCTCATTCTGATCAGAATCATCAAGTACTAACTAGTTACTGGCTTCATGAGGTATTTCCTGGAGTTCTAATGAGAAGCCGTGATTAGTGGCCTTCAACGGTGTCTTTTGTAGAAGCAGTTACTAACTGTAGACAATGGTGGATGGTCGCTCGATATTGTGGATTAGTTGTAATTAGACATTAACACCGTTGAATACCAACTTAGTGGTCTTGAGTTTAAGGTCTTGAGTTCGAGTCCCGCGTGCTTGATCATGGATACCTACTGCCGCGCATAAAAAAAGCAGTAATTTATATCACTGTATAATAATATACTATATTATGTAGTAAGAAAATTCATATAATATAGTAGCAATCCATGTATAGTATAAGATCTATTCAACAAATCATTTTGTACATCCATTCATAACAATGTATAATAATTATTACATCATTTAATCTAGGATATTTCAGTGATGCCATTTATAATTTGAAGTAGTTTCTTTTTTGTTGTTAAATAAATAGCTTAAATACATAACATTTTTTTCATAGTTGAAATCATGAGTCAATTGAAGTTAGACCACCATGGAAAACCTGGAAACACTGGATGGCCGTTTCGTCCTATTGTGGGACTCCTCAGCAGTGCGCGTCCACTATCCTGCCTCGCAAGATTCGAATCCAGGACCTACCAGTCTCGCTCCAGAGCACTTAACCGATAGACACAACACTTTTACAATCATTTTATCCTCTTTGTAAAATCATTGATTTGCTTGTGTATGTGTGTGTGTGTACATAGTTGATACGGGTATGTTGTTTCAATGTGAATGATTGTGTAATTTGATGTGTTATGATAAATGGTTTTGGTAAGATTAATTGTACAAACTATATATGTGACCTGTTGAATAAGTATACGAACTGAGTTATTCATGTTTTCCTAGTAAAATTTCAGGACACTTGAATAATTCATGGAACATTGAAGGAAAGTTTATAAAGGTTGAATAATGAAAAAATAAATAAATAACTTTGTAAGCAAAGATGGATAGTTGCTATCAGTGGAATCCAGGACGTGCGTCTCGTCCTATTTGGGACTCGTCAGTTGAATGTACCTGCATCTCAGAGTTGATATTCAGTCTGGGACTCGAACCCAGTACCTTTCACTACAAACGCCATCGCGTTATCTACCCAGAGTGAACACCAACTCTGAAATGTAAGTACATCCAGCTGATTAGTTCCAAAGAGAACGAAAAACGCGTCCTGAATTCCACTGCTAGTCACTATCCATCTTAGTTTAGAATGCTTGTGAATTAAGACCATATCGAGTCAATACACACAGTATGTAGATATGCCAATTAGAGACCGACCAGTTACGATCCTAAACATCAATGAGAATATTCAAACAAACAATATTAATTGAAAATAAATAACTGTTTCCATGTAATTTACACATTTCATAAAAAAGCATAGAAACTGGAAAAAAAAAACATTGATCAAATTAGATAACATAAATGTATCCTTTCTCGTTAGTGTTTTCTTTTTTAAGCGAGTTAATTTTCTACTTGATAGAGTCGTTAAACCCTATACTCAACCCTCTTTCTTTATCAGGGTTTAAAACTGACTGTATCCATTCGAATGGGGCTATAGCAATTCAGTTCATATGTATTATATCTATTTGATAGATTAATTATATCAATGTTGTCTATGTGAATTTAATATTGTTGTTATTATTATATTTCATTTGTTTCATTTTGAATGAAATTAGCTTATTCTGAATCACGTGGAAATAATCTACAATCTATATTGCATGAATTAATTACAACACTTACATTACGTGGTATATTTTTTACATTATTTGGTAGTTCAATAAGTATTTTAATATTTTATGGATTATGGAAATGTCAACAATTAAGCATGCAGTATGTTGTTTACATATTTATTAAATTTATAAAAGTTAATTTTTTTTTTTTTTATAATATAAACTGTTTGGTTAACTTCATATGATAGACATTTTCTGATGTTCTTCGTTGATTCGCAATTGGAAACGAATCTTAATCATTTAAAGTGATATTCTGATGATAATTCTATATTTTGAAGATGGTGTTGTTTAAGAATTGAGGTTGATTTGTAGGTAGAATTGTTCTGAATCAAAGTGTATGATCTTGCAGAGTTAAGCGGAAGGCTTTGGTTAAATATAACCACAATTGATGTAATAAACGATTTTTGTATAAATCGTTTAAGTGAGGTCAGTCTTTTTAAATTCTAAAACACATGCTATAGGTGTACATTAGTAAGGCTGAAATTCTTATTATTATACTTTTATGTTTGTGTCATCGACCGTTCAGCACTTATATCCTGCGTGGGGAATCGTACACACTGCTGAGGAGTCTCGTACTAGGAAGAAACGGTAATCCATTGATTTTCAATGGTTGTCTAGCTTAGATCAACTCATGAATTTAACTGTTAATATTACTTATGTCACTATCGTTCGTTCATGACTCATTGATTATGTTGTTATGGATAAATTTATAAAGTATTTGGTATTGTGGTATGGTCTACTTGTATCCATATATGTAGTATATGGTGTTGGTCAGACATAGAATGTATTTTGGCAGAAGACCGACGAGGGAAGAACTGATATGAAGCGCAATCGGGAGAAAAATGCACGAACAATGGAATTAGAGAAGAAACAGTGAAGATTGAGACTATTGGTTGATAATTTGCAAATTGACTGTCCATTGTATGGTTTTCAGAATTTACTGAGACAGTCTGTAATTATGCTTAAATACATTCGATTGTCCCCAGTCGTGTTCTGTTCACTACAGCATGACAGATTTGATCATAATGAGATAATAGAAATAAATTTTGACTGATATTACACCAGTAGACGGTAAATATGATTGATAACCGAACTAACCATATATCTTAGCAACAGAATATTGAATGAAAAAGTCTGACCTATAACTGAGAATTAATAATATTTTAGTAAAAATACTACATTTTATATGGATTACATAAAATAACTGTGTAACAATGCACTTGGTATTGTTTAGTTGAATCTTCCCATTGACTTTTAGGATTACAATTGACCAGTCTCTTATTGGCATATGTACATCCTGTGCGTATTGCTCAGATATTGCCTTAATTCACAAGCATTACATGCATAGATGGATAGGGGCTAGCAGTGGAATCCATCGCGCGCGTTTCATCTTATTTAGGACTCTTCAACTGAATATACTTGCATCTCAGAGTTTATGTCCACTCCAGGACTCGAACACAGTACATCAAATGAAACCAAAAATTCATAGCTGTGTAATAAATGAAAATCTGTGATTTTAATGAATACAAGTTCTTTTTTTCAATGTATTCAATAATATTATTATTAGCTTTGACCTGATGGATAACATTCAACTTATGCCATTTTATTCATTTACTATAGTATGATTAAGTTGCTTTGAAAACAATACTTATGATTTATAAGAGAAGATGGATAGTGACTAGCAGTTGAATTCAGGACGCGCGTTTCGTCTTATTTGGGACTCGTCAGCTAGATGTACCCAGTTTGAAGCAAACGGTACTGTGTTCGAGTCCCAGAGTGAACATCAACTCCAAGATGCATGTACATCTAGCTGACCACTCCCACATAGGACGAAACGCGCGTCCTGGATTACACTGCTAGCCACTATCCATCTTTGCTTATAAAGCTTGTGACTTCAGGCAATATCGAGGCAGTCCGCACAGGATGCACATATGTCAATAGGAGACTGATCAATTGCAGTCCGAAATAACAATGAGAAGATACAAGCAAACAACACCAAGTGAATTTAATACTTATGATTGTTTTTAAATAGTATTTTCAATGTCAAATATTACAATTGATTAGTGATTGAGTAGTGACCAATATTACGTTTATTTATCCCTTCACATGCTGATCGAATTTTATCGATTAGCTTTCATTATGGTAACTGATTTAAGTGAATTGATATCACATCCGTTATACTAAGATGTTAGATGACTAGACGTAGCCCATAGAAAGCACTTGGATAATATTTCTTACAAGTTAACAATCACTAGGTCTAAAAGACTGTATAGATTTGATATTGATTACTACTCAATGATTACTCGGTTGTAACTTCTACAGGGAGTCAGCTGTAGACTGATTAACTCAATGGTAACATTTCAGATTATGTAGCTGGATCATAAGTGTTTGATTTTTGTAGAGCTTTCGTTTCTCTAACGATTACTGATACTCCATTCCGAGAAGTGCCAACTAGCATGAAACGTAAATTCACAGTTTTCTCTTGTCTACATTTAATCATCTAGCATCTCAGTATGAAATTTATGTTAATTATATTTCAATATTTGTTAAACAACATCAGTTTAAATATATATTCTTTATTATTTTTTTATTTCTAGTCGAAGACACTTAAGAAGACGAAAGAAATCTTTAATTAAACATAATTCACAAATGGTAAGAACAAGTATTCTGTAAAAACTTCTATCCATCGATTAATTAATATCCAGTGGATAGTTCGTGTTCTTCTTGAGTGGTAAACATTAACCAAACCTTATACGAATGAAGCTAGAACCTTCGGGTTTTTAAATGAGATAGATATTGAAGATATCAATGAATAATGATCGTTGATTATTAAGTATTAACTAAAGTTGCAAACTACCAACTATAGTCCATTGAATCATATGATTCACTGTCACGAAAAGATTCAGTTCTTTATTTGTTATTTATATAGAATTTTCGGTTCACATTACTAAATAGTCCTGAACCGAGATAAAATGGCTATTTAGTGTTTCTTTTTAGCTTTTAATTGAAAAATCACTAGATATTGTGGTTTCTTATCCAAATAGTAATAAACACCAAGTATTTGTTTGTCAGATGATTAGTCTTTGCTTTTTATAAGGTTTATTGGTACAGAAACTGCTACGTTTTGCTCACTACTTTACAGGAGAGAAACCTTTTCGATTTATTCTAAGGTCTTGGCATGATATGTTGCCTATTTTGACCTTGAGGCTAGTAATATGTGAGTCTGATTTGTTACTGAACAGCCCTAGGGGGTGTGCAGAGAGACGAAAGCTAATCCACTACCTGACAGATTGACAAAAAAGAGAGATAAAACAGTCAGCCAGTCAAAACTTATAACCTGGTACTTATGTCATCGGTTCAGGTTCTCACACTCCATTAGCGCAGAGAGATGAAATTGTCAGGCCATATCACAGAATATTTGGGTAGTAAAAGTATGAGGAATTATTGAAAAGGTGATGCATCGAAGATACAAGCTAATAAAATACAAATTAGTGAAGTGAAAAATAAGAAACGTTTTGAGGAAAGCAGAAGGTGAGAATTTGAGAGAAGACAAAGAATGGATGAACCTGGACCATTGCAAACGCTTTTGAGCCATATCATTCAAAGTTTCTAACCATTGGTTGCGATAATCACAGGAACCTCAGTCAGGTAGTTTACACCTATTAATACACCTCAGACCAGTTGTCAATGACTACATGGAGTGACCCAACGTCTTGGTTTGTTCTCCCCCAGCTTTCTTCTAGCCTACTCCTATACCAGAAAACATCTCTCACTGGGGTAGGCGGTGGCCAGACATGCGTGACTTATGTCCCAACCATCTCCAATGATAAAGATTTACTAGTTTGTCAATTAACTAGTCATTGTCACTCAATATACTATTTCAAACCCAGACATTGGTTAGTCGGTCGTCCCAAAATACACAAGTAATTCTTTGAAAGCACTTGTGCTAGAATAGCAGTTACCTACGAATATCATGTATTTCAAATGGCCATTTTTAACGATTATAAAGTATAACGGAGTGAATTGATGTGCGAATAACTAATTCTTTCCACTTTATGGACTATTATTGGCTTTATTCAATATTATATTTTTCGTACAATATAAAATTCTCAGCACAAAGTATTTCATTAGGTTTTGTTTCTTTCTTCTTCGCCGATCCTGACGACATCTGAATAATATACATTCTTTTTGCTGCATATTGCCAGCAACCAAGATATATCAGATTAGTCCTTTTGTAACCTTCACAGCGAAAGGTTGTACACTTTTCAGAAACGCACCTGAATGGATTGTGCGACTAATAGCCAATGTGACGCATTAAAACAAAAGAAATTTAGATAAGTTGCTTAAATATTTAGATGACGGAACCAAGTAGCCCAGATGTTTAGGCAGGCCACCAGTCATATGGAACATGGCCATTTGGAATACAAGATATTCCTAGATTACTTAAGAGAAAACCATAGTCTGAACAATACCGTGTTAGTGATTCTAACTGGTATACTGAATGGCATACGTTAATAGTCCACTTATGTTTCAAATACTTCTGATGACTTTTAACTATTATAAAGTCTATATCCAGAACCTTCTGGCCATTGCTTTCAACTACATAACATAAACCGAAGAGACCTAAGCGATAAATCATTCAAACAAGCCGCTGTAATCCACTTTAGATGAAAACCCATTATCAGTGGTGCTGGTGCATTGAATGAATACTAAGTGTCTTACAGTAACACTTTATCTTGAAAGAAACCAAAAACTATCTCTTCAACGCCTAAATCACAGCTAATTAGCAAAATCTTACAATCTGTACCAAAGCTAATGAAATAAGTATACAAAATAAGGAGGCTCTTAACTTAGTCACTTAAAATGTCCTCTTTAAAGATATAATACACGATAGTCTCGTCGAAAGATTAAATCTAGTTGGAGTGGTACTATTACATTTCAGGTGTCTTCTTAGTCCATTTGATATGACAATTGATATTGTTTGGTAATATAAAGTTTTAGACGTCTGCGAATCAAAAAGCTCATCTTAGGAAGAATCCGTTGACCGATATATTTCATTTGTTGTATTTCATCAGTTGTATGTTGCAACGCTACCTCCATAAAGTGCGCCAAGTGTGATATTGACATGTTTCTTACGAAATCCATTTACATTCATATCTTATGAAATATCAACCCAGCTGAGTAATTTTAAACAGTGAAAATTGTAACTCCTTTAACAATTTGATCTTGCCTGTAAACCGGCATGCCTCATGTAACATTCTGTTATTTGAGAATAAATTATTATTATTATTATTATTTAATAATTTTCTCGTGTTTTAACCCTGGAGTACAAAAATGAAATCGATTTCAAACAATTGATTACATAAATCTTTGCTGAAGAACCAAAAGTTATGTTATACATAGAAAGTATTCGACCAATATAGTATTGTGGTGTGCTACTGGTGCCAACAGATGTAAGTAGTATGTATCATCAATCAAAAGTGAAATGACTGGCGGCAGAAGGTTAAGGAGGTCAAAGAGAACGAGAACAGACAGTGATTGGTGTCTACAATTAACTGATCACTGGATGGTGATCAATGTTATGCATGTCAGGTCCTTCTTAGTGAACATCAAATCCTATCGACCTAGTTGCAATGTGGTCACTAGTCTAGGTGACGCGACATTGTGTGCACTATGTTGAGATAAGATAACGGTTGTAAGTAGTTAACAGGGAACCCTGTAAGTACGTTTCGTGTTATTTCGCGCCCGTTAGTAAAGTGTATATGTAATCTTGAGAGAGTTAATTCTCCCTGACGGATTCGATCCCGTGTCACTCAGCTTCACAGTCAGAGACATTACCGTTAAGGTTCAGTAGGACTGAGATGTATTTACGATTGATTGATTGGTTTGGAAACGAAGGAACAAAGAAAGAATGAGACAATTGATAAGTATTTTACAAATGAAGTAGTGCTGTGTGGTTTTCAGATTTTACTAAGAGATTCTGTAATCTTGTGTACAAATACATTTGATTGTCCCCACCAATGTTCTTGTTCGCTATAGTGTGACTTTGAATAATCTGTCAGATAATAACTGATACTAAAGTAAAGAATGACATAATACTTCTGTCAATCGTTTCATCTAGACAAAGAATTAAGAGTTTTTCAATTATCTTAAATCTATAAACTCTTACATTTTATGTTAATTGAATCAAAAAATTAATCAGCAATAAATGCTAATAAATTATCATACTTTTTATTCATTTAGAAAACTTCTCATCCTGTCAATCGTTCAAATCATGGAAGTAGAATTAATAGTACAGTGAAAGATAGCACAGCACCAATTTTAATTAGTGATTTTAATACAAGAGATCAAAAAATTGAAAACATCCCCGTTGCTGAAGATTATTTTGGACAAACTGGTGGTAGTTATATTTTGTCAGCTCCAAATTTAGTAAATTCTGAATGCTATGAAAATCGTTCACAGAATTTTACTGGTGATGTAATGATTGATCTGAAATCTCCATTATCGACAAGTCATGGTAAATTGATATATATTACATCTTCGGAAATACACATTACAGCATTTATATTATTGAGTACTAACTAACAAGAAAAAATAAGTTCTTCATTGTGGTCTAACTTCAATTGACTCGTGATCTGAACTATTGAAATTACTAGTGACTGGCTTCATGAGGTATTTTCTGGAGTTCTGTTGAGAAGCAATGACAAGCGGAGTTCAACTGAGTGTGTTGGGAGGTATCAACTCACTGAAGACGATGGTGGATTTGTCGCTAAATTTCGTGGTTCTGTTGGAGTTAGGCATTAAGACCGTTGGATGCCGGCTCAGTGATCTAGAGGTCGAGAGACCGCTCACGCGCGAGACTTATAGGTCCTGTTTTTGAATCTCATAGATGCGAGATCGTGGAGTCCCATAATTGGATGGAACGACCGTCCAGTGCTTCCACGTTTTTGATTGTGGTCTAGTTTCAATTGACTCATGATCTCAACTCTATAAAATGCAATTTAGTCAAATTTAATACTGATTGGTTTATATTACAAACTAAAATTAATTAGACAACTGGTGTAAACCACGAAACACTGTACGACTTTTTCATCCTATTACGTGACTCTTGAGCTGTGTACATCCTCTGCTCAACCGAGGATTAAACTGAGAACTTACTAGATCTCCTGAAGACACTTAATATTTACACTATTAGGATAGCTTCCAATGATTTACAATTTTAAATTCAATCGATTCAAGACATTTGACAACCAACTTTCAATACCATAGTTCAACACAATGGCAAATCATTGAAATTGGGATCATTAAAGATTTCGTCATAATAGTGTTGACCACTAATGAATATTTAAATGGATCATTCCCAATCGAAATGATTCAGTAAGGGAGAAAATAACACAGCTAATATAAAATGCATAATAAGCTTTTTTTCATAAATACCTAAATGACCTACCATAACAACAACGAACTACTGGTTTCCTTTTCTATTTAGATCCCTTTTCTAGTACATCAGTAACTGTAATTGGTTATTAAACTGGTAACTTCATCTTGGATTAGTAAAAAAAGAAACTAACCACACATTTCAACTAATACTTACTTATTCAAAACGTATATGATGTATTCGCTCTGTGATTTGTCAGTTTACTAAGAAAGATACCATACTTTCAAAGACTATCTCCCATATTCGCCGTTTCGTTTACAATTTTAAAACTACATAGGCATTTAAATGATTATCTTCCTACCTATCATGGTTTGAGTAAGTGGGTAGTGGAAAAAACCGATCACACAAAACATACAATTCAGCATCTACATGTACTTGCTTACTGAATTATATTAAATTGATAAGTTCATTTCCATATTTCAACAATAGTATTTCTGAATATCTTAAATATTTCCACTTAAGTCTTATAAGTCATTTTTATCATTCCAGTGAATCCACAACAGTTACATGATCATTCAAGAAGCACAAATCAGTTCGGTTATCGACCATCATCCTCTTTAGATCAATGTAATGAATCAGTCCATAAACCTGAGAATGGAATAACCTTAAACAATAGACCTTTTGGGACAGATTGGTCAACACGAAGGTTTGTATCGCAAACAGCTGGATCAATTCGAGATCGATTACCAGTACTAGCAGAAGGATCAAATTTCGATTTGAATGTTAAGCGATATCCGGATTACACAGATCCTATAGACAATATGAATAGATTTGATCGAAACAGAGAAATACCACTGAATATGGTTTCATCTTCTTCTTCATTTATGCAAACTAATACCTGAATATACAATTAAGAATAATGGTAACAAGCATTCATTTCAGATTGTAAGAAGTAAGAATGTAGAGTACATGATATTATTCATTACCATACAACAGATTTTATTACTAACACTTCATATTCTACCTTTAGGGTTACTGGTTAATTATTCTGACGTAATCTACTACAAAGTACTTCAATTCTGCATTGTTTTATTTCGTAGTTTTGTGAAAAAAGTAAAAAAAGAATCTTGTCCTCGGTTGTCTATTTTCATTAGTTGAAAATGACACAAACGCATTTGTTTTACTGTTTTCTTGTGTCACTTTTATTTTCACCCAGAGACAAAATTGAAAATCAAAGCAAGTTATATTGCACTCTTTCATTCTTAACTATCTAATCAATGTTTATGAATCCTTTATACCTCATCATTTTGTGTATATATCCAATGAAATGTATCATCGGTTTGTATATTCTACCATAGATGTGTGTATGTATGTGTGAGTGAGTGAATGAGGAACAGTTGCCTACCTACTGTTTGATTGTTTATTACATTATTTAATACTTGAATTGAAGTGATTATGACTATCAATAGAAAAGAAATAAAGTCATTTGAAAAGTTTATTTTAATTTCTGATTATAAATGCTTTCATCATAGTTACAAAGTATTCAGTAAACAGAAGTGAACAGTGAATAATTTGCAATATAGTGCACCCAATGTCGAATCGCCTAGACTAGTGGCCATATTGCGGCATGATCAATAGGATTCTATCTGAACTAAGAATGACACATATGACATTGACCACTACTCAGTGACCAACCAATTGTAAATACATCTCGGTCCCACAGTAGATCAGTCGCCACCCGGATAGCTCAGTGGTAACGTCTCTGACTGTGATTCTGGGTGACACATGATCGAATCCGTCAGGCAGCTTTAGTTCTCTCAAAATTACAGATACACCTTACTGACGGATGGAAAATAGCACGAAACCTAGTTCCAGGGTTTCCTGTCAACTATCTCCAACAACTACCTTACAGTGAATAATATCAACTATCGCGTAATAATGAAAACTCATATCTGTATAAAAATCATGTAACTTTATTAGTGAAACAAAAGAATCTGATTTTGCACTTTAAGTAGTTAATTTCACTGAATTGAATACACCTGAATTTATAATAATAATAATAATAATATATTTCTGCAATAGCAGGTATACGCCATTTTTACAGGCATGATCTACAATTTACAACATATACCGGTTCACAGTATGCATCCCAAGCAAGCTTGTTTAGTAATTACAATCTATAAAAGTTGATAGCAGTTCATTCGTTCAGATATAGTGTGTTTTCATAAGAATAGTTTCCAAAGGGGCATAGCGTCCACGTTATATACCAGATCCAATCTCGACAAAAGTGTAAAAGGGTTTCGGTAGTGCTAAGTATTTATGTAATGCAGTTTTTTAAGTTTATAATTGTTATAAAGTAGGCTTGTGGAGCGCCTGGTTCGAGCTATGACCTTGGGAAAGCGCGTTCGTCAAGCTTGTTCCAGATGTCAGAAGTTACATAGCTTCACCCTCAGAGCAAGATTCTGAAGAGAAAAAAAAGAAAAAAAACCGAGGAGCAGCCAGGTATTTGGATATGAACGATAACCAATGCTTAACATTTATTAGTAGAACAGATGGAGGTATGATAAATTATTAGATTAAATTGATACTAGCTCATGTTGCAAGAGTGAAGTGTGATTAGGTGCTCCATAGGAGAGAATGCAGTAATAAAGAACAATGAGTCGTGATATTTATGAAGTTGGAGTTGGTTCGAATGAAGGAGGGAAGTCAAGGTTGGAATGAGGAAGAACAGAGAGTGCATATCGAGAGTAGAGTGTTGAGTAAAATAACAACCATATCCTTTACAGTCTGTTTTTTTCATCATCCGATGCCTGCCACACAGTTTTCATGTAAAAGTCCGAGTTAGCATGTTAAAGGTTGTCTTAGTAGAATAGTTAATCCAGCACAAAAATTAGAAACAACAGTTTGAATGGTGAGTGTAGGAGAACAACCTCAGTATCACAGATTGATTGACTTGTTCTCATCCATAAAGAACCTGATACAAACAAAATGTTCTGCCCCACAAACAAGGGTGGATTGAAATCATCTCCCTCACCATCAGTGCTTGCTGGTCAGTAACTCCACCCTCCCTCCTTTTGTGATGTTAGGCTCATTTACGCTTATTTTTTGGATATATATCATACCTCACACAATGCTCTGTGTTTCACATGCTGCTGGAAACACTATTTCAATGAGTACCATGTTACAAGCTTATCAGACAGTTACAAATTATGGACTGTGGGTAAGGCTTCGATGCAATGTTTTTATTGACTATATAGTAAAGTGTAGGTTACGAATCAGAGTATAGGCATTAGGAAGGGTATAGTGTAGGATATTTGCTTACCATAATAGGCGGAAAAGTGGAGATTTATATTAGTTACAGATAAGGTAAGATAACGAGTGGTGAAATAATATTATGATTTTGTGTTTTGCTTTACTGTTTTCTTCCAAGTCATGCGATGTCATTTCAACGTTTTATTGTGTGCTGAAATGATTGTTATTCTTTTGACAGTTCGAAAAAAATAATCACTATATCCTAATTACTATTTTGAATAGGTAATCTGAATGACTTTCACTAAGGAGCTCTTATTTCTTACCAGACTAAACAATGCATCTGTAGTGGCCTGCTTTTTTCGACAAGGACGCGATTGGTATAATAGAAACAATTATTATTATAACCAATTGTACCAGTGATTGTTTTACTGTACTGGCTGTTGTTTAACTGTATCAAAATCACTTTTGTTCCGTGTCCATCTTGTCCGTCCGAACTTTCTTACTCTCTGTCCTTATTGCCTGTAATCTTTGGCACGTCTCGGTATTCTTTCGATACCACGAGATCGCCAATAAATATACTTTACTTGGACTAATTACAGCCTTCTGGTTTGCGGGATATCGAGGGAACCAAGTCGTTTTCGAGCGCATAATATCATTGTAGTGGTGATCATAGTCCATCAAGACTCGACGCCATCTAAACATCAATAAAGTGTACATAGTGTCCACATCACGACCATACATCAGTTGGGCTACTATTGAAGGTTAATGTTTAGGTACTAACTATGAGACCTGAGGGCCTTGGGTTGATCCCACGGGAGAATCATGGGCGAAATGTTCTATGCTAGTACTGATTGAGTAACAAGGGCCCTGTAGTTTGTAATGGTACTCCAACTGAGATCAGTTTTAGAAGAGTATCAACAAAAGATTAAAATAGCCTTCGTAAACTAAATTCATCTTAACATAAATAATTTATCAGTCAGTCATGAAAACATGGAATTTGGTAAAATTTTTCATCAACAAATGTCGTAGCAATTTAAAACAATACAGTAACAAGAAAATAATGAAAGTGAGTTTATCGTTGAGATCCAAAGCCGATCAATGTTAGACCTCCGTTGATAACCTGGAATCAATGGATGACCATTTTAACCTAGTGCGAAACTCCTCAGTAGTGCACATCCACGGTCCCGTAAGAGGGACTCGCACAAATACACCTAATCTCTGGATTACTGAGTCGGCATCCGACGATGTTAATATCTCACCTCAACCAACCGACGATATTGCGCGACAATCGTCTATTGTCTTCAGTGGATAACTGACTCACAATCGATACGTTTGAAGTCCACTAATCACGGCCTCTCATTAGAACTCCAAAAATTACATCTTGAAGATAGTCACATGATGACTATTAGTGTAGAGCTGTGGAGAATGTTGGGTTTCACTAAAATCATGAGGATAACTAAACCTACTATGTTGGGAATAAATTTAATAACACCATTTCAACTGATTTACAATCATATTGCTCAATGTCTAATGACAGGTTAAGGTTTCTATTAGTTGTTTGAATTCTGGACTAATTTTTAGGAGTGCAACTGTTTTGTCTCTTTTTTGACATATGTGATTCTGTGTGGACTGCCTTGATATTGTCATTAAGCGGATAAGGATGGTGATTATCAGTGAACACAGAATAAAACGCACATCTTGAATTTCACTGCTAGTCTCCATCGATTTGTAATTATACATATTAAATCACTATTTCCGTATAATCACTCAAGTCCTAACCTCTCTACATTATTCAGACCAGTAGTCAGTAATTTATGGACTTATGCCATGTTTAACTTTGAACCTGTATTTATTTATTTCAACTAGAGTTGACGCAAAGCTGCTAGTGCTGATCAACATATATCATTGGTTTAGCACAGGAACAAGGTCATAGAAATCGGTATTCTGATTAGCCATTTATCCGTGTGAAATTGTAACGGTAATAGGACATAAAACTTATAATGGCAAATACTTTGTGACTAATAATTCAACAACTTTAAGCAAAATTATATTTACACTTTGTACACAATTACTTGGATATAATATGTCATTACAAATTGGTGTATCCAGTAATTCTATAATATCGATTCATTTAGCTTCAAACTCGATTAATCGACAAGACAATTTAATTGTAATCTCTGATAAAATGTCTGCACAATGATCATGAGTAGTGGTGTGTGATAGAAATGAAGGAGATTGAAAAGATATGTTTTTGTTATATATAGGGAAAGCGACAACATATTTATTTTCTTGGGTTGAAGTTGAACCCATCTGATCAAGATTCAATGATAAGAAAGAAGTTATATGACCTGTTTCTCCATTCCTACCATCGGTTAATTCCAGTAGGATGCGTAAACTTATATTTAACAGCTGACAAAATGATCAGTGTACAGCAACCAAGACATAAACTCTTACTGCGCCTCGGACCTGTTCTAACTCAGTGACCGATTGGAAGAACCAATTAGTAGGTCCGAAAGCAATTAACAGGAACTTAAGAAACGTACAACACATAAAAACAATTCATACATCACAAAAAAGCTTACGAGCTGGAGAATACATTGCAGTAATTAAAGTATTTAATGATGAATAAACAAAAAAGAAACACGATTACTTCAGACAAGACAGTCCCGGAAATCCAACTGTGTCAATACTCTTCCAGTTAGATTGTTCAAACTTACCAAAAGTCATGTCCCAAAAAGTTATCTGTTGGTGATACACTTAATAGGACAATAACATATGCCTTGGATGATAAACCATATTCTACACATGAGATTGTTCAAGAAAAACGCATACAGTGTTTATAAGCTGAGATGATGGTGGCTAGCAGTGGAATCCAGGACACGTGTTTCGTCCTATCTGGTAGTAGTCAGCTAGATGTAACTGCATCTTGGGATTACTGCTCACTCTGAGACTCGAATCCATTACCGTTGACTTCAAACATTAAAGCGTTATCCACTTAGCTACTGAGTCCAGATAGCCACCATCTTGTGCAATTAGTGAACATCAACTCTGGGATGCAGGTACATCCAGCTGAGCAGACCCGAATAGGACGAAACGCGCGTCCTGGATTCCACTACTAGCCACAATCATCTCTACTTATAATGCTAATTACTTAAAGCAATATCAAAACAATCCTCACAGAATGCACATATATAAAAATAAAGAATGATCAATTGCATTCCTAAACATCAATGGGAAGATTCAAGGAACAAATACAAAAATAAAGTATGTAGTGTTTGTTAAAGTCAGTGAACATTGAGCATTCCAACAAGATAATTTACGTACAACGCAATTTCTTCAGAAGAAATAAATCTTGATAAACATTTCGAGTCAGTATATTTCAATATACTGTTGAATTGTATAGCACAAACTAACTAAAATTACTCATCTTACACG